GGCTTAGTAATGAAAAATGGTTATAAGTGAGCTGTTCTCGATCTATATTTCATTCGTAGTACTACTGTAGTTCACTGTCAATTAATCCCATTACTTACAATGTACGAGGACATTATTAGGCTACTTCTAGAAAAAGTTGGAAAGTACAGCGAACACCTTTCCAACAACCACCAATTAAATTTAGAACAAAGTTCAGTAAAGTAGAACCCTTGAATATTACATCTAGAAAAAGGCGTCCCTTTCATTTCTTGAAAGCTCGATCACTTATATTTTCTTCAGTGGAGATTGGTGAAAAAATTATGCATGAGTAAGATACTTCATTTTTAACCATACGACGCATAAAAGGAAGGAGGGTGTGGATGCCAAGAGTTGTCTCCGATAAATACGCGACGCTCTTTCTCTTTCTCTCTTGTTCCAGATAAGGAATAAAAACCGCCCATCACGCTGCTATCAAAACCGTGACAAAATAGAACAAGGAGATCGCCAGAGATCTTGTCGTTTACCTTAGGGATTAAAATACTACTCAAAAACTTTCAGTGTTCTCTTTTAACTTTTGAGGCTGGCTTTTAAAATAGTGTATTTTTTTTATCTATACTGTTTTTAAATAAAAGGATAGTTGGTCGTGATGACTCAAACTTGGGAGCGGAGAGCTTTTCATCGATGACTAAGCTCAAGTTCAGATCTTAAATCACCAGGAACTAACGACAGAGACGCAGAACGAAACATGAGTCCTAAAATATTCCCTCCTGCTTTACCATGCAGGTTGAACATTGTCCCTTAGCGATTTATTTACACTTCATATCATTAAAATTTCAAATTCTTTGTGTTATTGGCGATAAATAGCTGTTAACTTTCTGTCAACTGGCATTATTAAAATAGCAGCTCAGGGAACAAGTAATTTGCCTAGAAAAAAGTCACAAAACCAAATCAAGTCCTTTGACTATTCTAAGTGTACATGTAAGTTCATTTGCGATAATTTGATTGTTAAACTAATTGATATCCTCTTGTCATGTTTATTCTTTGTCATCATATAGTCCTGTTTCCTGGAGTTCAAAATTATATTCCTTTTAACCTTTTTACTTTCCATCCACTGAAAGCAAATTCAAATTTGGAGAACCGGGATTGTTCAGTTTCTAAAACTAGAAGACTGGTCAAAACAAATCTAGTAGTTGATTCAGCTCGAGAAGTGTAGGGGCCGCTTATCCAAGCTGTAAGACAATATATTTTTCCCTTGCAAGCCTCAGCTTGGTCTAAAATATGGCAGGGAACATAGTCCCCCGAACCCATCCCCTAGATCTGCCATTGAGTTTTGTGAGTGTTTATTCTCATCATAATTAATACACTTGGGAGCATTCATTACTGTGGAAACTAAGAAATGTAAAGCTTAACGGGCCAATGGTTTTTCGGGTTTGTGTTTTAACCTCAATTTTTCGGTTTTTGATCTAAACATTTGCGACGCAAAGTTGCCACTTTTTAGCTATATACCTCACCTCGTTAACCAATCGGAGGGCCAGTTTTCATTTACCTTTAATATTTCTGGTTAATTAAGAACGCGGAAAATTCATCTACAACGACAAAAAATAGAGGTGATATTATATGATATTATATGGTATTTTATTTTATAGACACGAGTGTTTTACTGGAAAATATACCACTCGTAAAATTTATAAAATCTACATCCGTGACCCGAGTGGTCTATTTTCCATAATCTCACATGTGAGTTTATCGATGACGTAATTTCGGTAATTTCTCTCTTAGTCTATTACTTTATCGATGTCTTTTTGTCTATATAATAAAAAGAATATCACACGGCGGCTTGAAGATGTGAATGTTATTTTCTCGTGGCAAAAACAATATTTTACTCACTCGCTACGCTCGTTCGTAAAATATTGTTTTGCCACTCAAAAATAAAATTCATATCTTCGCGCCACCATGTAATATCCTCTATATATGATAGGATTCAAACAGGGATGACGGTGACGTGTTCGATTACCAAGTAATTGGGAACTGGTCGCTTACTCAAATCATCTCTTGATCTAGCTTTAAAAATTAAGGATCGGACCGGCGTAGCTATACCGTAGATATATGAATTATTTATTTGAACAAAGTACGGATACTGGATTATACCTTATCCTCTTTTGATTATAATACATGAAAGATCAGTCAACGTAGCAATTATGTCATAAAGCCCGAAGAAAATATTTTAAATCGTGACAATAGTAGCGTAACCTTACTTACCCAATTTGTGGACGTCTCTTTTTCACAGGACAGAGATGAATACTGTCTGCTCCATTTTTGTTGGATGGATAGTGCTTCTAATCGCTTTCGGTAATCTAAATGTTGTTGTTGTTGTTATTTTTTGTTTGTTTGTTTTTTTTGCTTGTTTGTTTGTATTTTTTAAAGGTTTCTGGCAACCCAGCAAAAAATAATGATGAATCAGAAAAGTCTCTCAGATTAAAACGATAACTTAAAAATCAATTTGTTAGTTTGTTTTAATCACGTTCTAATACAAATCTTATCTTTTAACTTACATTGACATAAAACATGGGAACTGCTTTTTTTTCAGTTTACAAATTTTTTAATCTGGTAAATTAATCTGTGTGTGTAAGTCTTCAGGAGTAGTCAGAATTTCCAAGATGAAGCAGCTGTGGAAAGATCTATCCATGCTGAAGTTGTTGTTTACCAGCTTAGATAGCTTGAAAGCGAAGGAAGGAAAATATGCATCGTTGAAGGTGTTTCGATATAGTTTTTCGGAGGCCATAGCGATATTTTTCAATCGCTTTCAAAGTGATTTTATCCTTGTCTGATCGCTATAAAATTTTCAGCAATGATTGACTATAGATTGAAATTTCTCAAAATGAAGGTTTTAGTAAAATGGATATTACTATGACAACAATAAACAAAAAACTTTGAAATTGATGAACGCCTAATTTTGCTCGATCTAGTCCTGCTAGAGGAACTTTTAAAAGTCTGGTGTTTAGCAAATAACCGTCTTAAGAAGTAAAAAATTCTGTACGTTTGAATTCGACTGAAACGAAGATATATTTCAAACATTAAATTTCCAATAGCCGTGATACGTTTTAAATGACTCAAATTATTCTTAAGTAGCTGTGAATGCATTAAAGCGATCCAAAGTCAACAGAACAACACAGTGTGATTTTGCTTTAATCTCACAGGAAAACAAACTTCGAAGACGCATACAGAATTCGGGGACTTGGACCAAAGCTTGCGATAAAAAGCGATAGTTAAGCGATGGTATGTAAACTTGTCCCTTTACAACAGTGAGTCACACTTGAACTTCTACGTAGCTTGTATTAGATTTGTACCATAAGATGCACGATAGCTGTACGGTTTGTAAGGTTTCGAGAAACTATAACAAAAAAGTAAATAACAATAAACACTAGAAATACCTAGTAAAGAAAGGCGAACTAAAAACTTACGTTTGTGTCCTCTGGTAGCGCCACAAAAACACGATAAGCAGTAAAAAACTATGTTCCAAAAAATGATTTACCGTACGACATTTCTTTTCGTTGAGCAAATGGATTTTTTCTTCCCGCAAAGCATTGCGGGGCGGCACGTCAAAGCGTGCGTCACATCACGCGCGCGATCACTGAGTCGCAACACAACGCCAGTAACAGTAGCGTCAAATTGCTGCTTAATATCATATTTTGATGCTAGGAAATTTTGGTGTATTTTCGTTCATGCGATCTTAAAAACTAAACCGTTTTCTCAGCACCTGTCTAAGTGCACGTTCATTAACATTTTGGACTTTTAGCGCTTTTTTGTATATCTCTGAAAAGAATCGAAGGAATTCTTTTAAAATCTCTTCACGTAATCTTCATAATGTATATAATAATGTCTGAAACTTTCATTAAGATTGATTCACTACAACACCTTGAAATTTCAAGACAAACCTATCCTACGAACCGGTCAAAAATCCGCGCTACAGCATTCACTGTTTTGACGTTATGCTAATTTTTCCAAATAAATGCGGACAATACATATATCCATGACTAATACCTTTCGGTGTGAGTATTAGTCATGGAGGTATGTATGGTGCGCATTATTTTGGAAAAATTAGCATAACGTCAAAACAGTGAATGTTGTAACGCAGATTTTTGACCGGTTCGTATAAGGGTAGGTTTGTCTTGAAATTTCAAGGTGTTGCAGTGAATCAATCTTACTAAAAGTTTCAGACATTTTTATATACATTATGAACATTATGTGAAGAGATTTTAAAAAAATTCGTTCGAGTTGTTTCGGAGATATTCAAGAAAGCGTTAAAAGTCCAAATTCTGAATGAAGTTGCACTTAGACAGATGGTGAGAAAACACCGGGGTTAGTTTTTAAGATCGCAAGAACGAAAGTACACCAAAATTTCCTAGCATCAAAATATGTTATTAAGCAGCATTCTGACGTTACTTAAGAATAATTTGAGTCATTTATAACGCTTTTATTAAATAATCTATCACGGCTATTGAAAATTTAAGGTTTGAAATATATTTTCGCTTTAGTCGAAGTCAAACATACAGATTGTTTTACTTCTTACGGAGATTGTTTGCTAAACACCAAACTTTATATTAAGTTCCTAGTGTTGGATTTTCAGTAGCAGGTTTAAATTTAGATCACACAAAATTCGGCTTTTCTCAGTTTCAAAGTTTTTTGTTTATTGTTGTCATAGTAATAAAGATTTTACTTAAAACTATATTTTCACAAATTTCAATCCATAGCCAATTACGGGTGAAAATTTCCTAGCGATCGGACAAGGAAAAAACCACTTTTAAGGCGATTGAAAAATACCGGTGTGGCCTCTGAAAAACTGTATCGAAACACCTTAATATAGAACGAAAAAGACCAAAGCGGTCCTCAAAAAGTAAAAAGGTCAACCTGTATACAGAAAAATTATTGGAACATTTTTATGAATTGTCGCCATTTTTTATCATTTTTATTATTACTTACCCGGAGAAGAAACGAAAGGTTTCTTTGTTACAATCCCCCAAACTGGCCGAACCGATCTGGTGCAAAAATTGGTTAAAGAAGAGATAGGTCTTAATTTGAACGACCGACGACGCCTTTACCTCTACGGATGCTGGTGTGGACTACGAGGACAAGGGATAGTTTTGGACAACATTGATTAGTAAGTAAAATCTCCCATAAATTTAAATGAATACTAAATAAATAATAATAATAATAATAAAAACACAAATGATTGTTAAAAGGTAATGGCAGCGAACACATTTCTCTATTGAGTCTGGCTATAATGACTGGCTACGGCAGCAACCAGAAATATTTTTTGGCAAAAAGGATTGGAATGCGGTGCTACTACAACGTTAAAAATACAAACTACACTGTATTTCGCACTGAATTCTATATCTTGTCCTCCCGAACTATCTGGTATGAAACACTTGAAAATTTTCCTTGATACAACACCGGACAAAACTGTTGAGATAGTTCCATCTATTTGCTAACTTTTGCGCCATACTACGTCTCCTCTAAAACGAAGAATGAGCAAGTCCCCTCGTCACATGGTATTTTGTTTTGGTCTAAAAACCAAATATATAACTGCTATGCTATCCTAAACAGCTTTGGATATAAGGGAAGGGGGGAAAACAAGCATTCGTTTGGCGATGGTTTCCATTTCTGCCAGGATGACGGGAAAAAATCGAATATTTTTGCAATGTGTCTAAACAAAGTTTGTCCGAGGCTGTAAATTTCTCTTTTTCTAGTGTTTCATAATTTGTTCCTTCGTTGTCAACTTTTCAACAGCAGGTGCATGATAATAGAGCCTATTGTCAGCTTAATTCGGTGTCTTACATCTATGGGGAAACTGTAAGGCGGCCAAAGAATCCATCAGTCTTTGCTCGATGAAAGCTGAGTACGAGTAATAATAACAGTACGTAGAGGGGAAACGAAAGCTTAATAACTAAAGACAGCTGCGGTTGCTTTGAGTGTTGTATGACCATCTGTGGAACTGGAGCTCAGAACGCTTTAGATATTTATTCATTTATTCATTTATTTATTTAAATTTATCCTCAAACGCTTTCTTTTGTTCCAATAAATTTGAATAGATGCTGGTCACGTGAGTGAAAACACTCTATACTTGTGCACAAGCTTATGTAAACAACTCTTCAAACGAAACTTTTTCATTCCATTAACTCGCGGACTATTCTGCTTTGAAACTTGCCAGAGAATTATTCTGGCCACATTCACGGTCATTGTGGTGTTGGTACTATACTCCTCCCTCCTCCGCAGACACTCCCGCTGGGTACCCCAATAAAAATAACAAATAACCGAAAAATAGAAAGCGCGCGGGGGACGATGGGAAGAGAGAACATCGTGTCTCGCGCGCTTTCTTTTTCTTTCGCCCCAGCCTCCCTACAACACAAAGAGGCCTCTGCGGAGGAGAGAGACTGTACTCTGGTTGTGTAAACTTACTACATTCACGGGTGATAAAGACAGATTGAATCAATTTAGGTTTCTAAGAAACTGCCCACCTACCCCTCCCCTAAGCCATGGCCATCATTTTGCCCAAAGTGAGAAGAAAGTGTTAATGTTAGCTTAGCGGATGGGTAGGTGGGCATTTTCGCGAAAAATCTAAATTTATCCGACAGATTCAGGTTTCTGAAGAAAACATAATTCCGGTATTAGGGTCACCTACACGACCTACACTGGGGAGCCAACTGTTCCTACATTTCCGTACAAAACGTAATAAACCGTTTACTAAAGAAACAAAGAGTTGGCTCGATCACCCTCCCTAGCCGAGCCAGCTTTTCTCCATATAAACTTTGGCTCACCATCACCATCACCATCACCATCACCATCACCATCACTATCATTATCGTCATCATCGTCACCTTCGTTGTCGTCATCATCATCATCATTAGTTGACTTAGTTTCTTTCTCAAGTTTTTCTACTATTTTTTTTAGCTGTTGCAAAGTTCATGATTTTTGTGAGAAGGCATACCTAAGAGACAGAGACAAATGTGCAACAAAGTTCTCAAACATCGACTTGGCCTTCCAGTACAACAAAGCCACCAAAAAATGTAGTAAGTGCATTTTGTGATTGATGTTTCAGTTATGACAGATCAGATGGAAAAAAAGTTGAGGGTGCGTTTCTTTACTAAAATCCAAGATCAGATCAAAAATCCCGATCATTAGGATTTTTGGTTGAGAAAAGAAAAGATGTATTCAAAAAGGGATTAGTTTTCGATTATTTCCATAGAAACGACCTACAATAACGACGGTATCCCGGAGAAAGAAAAGGGAGCTTAAGATACGGAGACTACGGACTACGAACTACGGCTGGACGAACGTTGTCCTATGTTTATAGCACTGGGTTGAGTCGTGCAAATATAGAACGTTAAGATTGCACTACCGACAGTAGACTACGAGAGAAGAGGCGGAGAGGGAAACAACACACAAAGATTTTCTTGTTTTCATCACAATTCACAAAAATGCAAGTCAGTTTTGCATGTGATTTTATCTTTAGAACAATGAACAAATTCTTCTATACTTGAAGGAAGCAATTACGTCGGGTGAAATTGGTAAACAAAGTTTTTGTTACACAGGTTTTATTTTTTTCGCCCATGAATACTTATGTCAAATATTAAAGAAGTAGACAGAAATAGTAATACCTCATTTATTAGATTTGGAAGATGGACTTCTCCGACTTCTGATCTGATGTTGTTTGAAGTATTGAAATGCCGAGTTTCGATTGTCTCGAAGATGTTTACATCATTTTCACTCAGCAAATGTGATGCAAAATCTCGCATAAACGAAGGTTACACAAGTAGAAAGACACACTAATCAGTTCGAACAAACATTGAAACTTTTCAAGTGCGAAGAGAAAGTAAATTACCTGCATGATTTCTGTTCTCCTCGGCCGTCAATCTGAATTCTGCGTATAAACAGCTATTAAAGCTTATTCAAATATGAGCTTAGCTAGCTAAAAATCTAGTCACAACGGTGGATTAAAAGCGCAAATCTGAGCAGAAATTAGGAACAATCTACATATTTCGCTTCCCTCTCTCTTAAAGCAGGTGAATTGAAACCTTTTTTACGAGAAGACGAGATTCTTGAACTACCGAGACGGCAAAATACGACCAAAATGTTCTCCGTAGTCCCGACTACGCGAAACAGCTCAACAACTCACCGTAGCCGCAGGACTACGCGGGAAAAATGAACAGTCACGTGGTTTTGATCATGCGCAGTAGCATGTTATCCGTAGTCGTAGTCCGTAGTCGCCGTATCTTAAACTCCCTAATAACACGGCTGTTGACTAAGGTTGCAAGTCTGCTGCTATTTCACTGTATTCTGGACGGTTAGCTTTAGGATACTGCTTTAGATAGGCCAAATGAAGACGATGTATTCTCGAAATAAGATATGTATTGGAAAAGTAAAGTCTTGCAAGACGCGAAGGCGAAGTTGTGTAGAAGTTTTTTCCTTGTAACTAGAACAATGCAGGTCCTGTTTGTATTGCGATTTTACCACCCCGATAAAACGGATAAAATCGATCGTTTAATTCATTATTCCAGTTCAAAAATGGACGTAATGATAAGCAGTCTTGTCAAAAAGCTGTTGTATGTATTAAAATTGTTTCGGGTTACCGCTGGCAATATTCACTCTTTTCAGATCCGTAGTAAAGAAACGTTTCGGATCTTATATCCAAAGTATCCGGTACTGGATATGATCCATAAAATCCCCCTCCGTTGTGGATCATTTGGATCAATAATTCGTTTTTGGATTTAGTAAAGAAACGAAATATCCGTAATCGGATTAAAAATCCGGATTAGGATTTTAGTTAAGAAATGCACCATGGATTGTTATATAGCTGGATTTTTTTCCTGGCAGCGCGCGCTTATACATATACACGCGTAATCGGAATCCGATTTCAATCATAATTAATTTATTTAAAGTGAAGGGTGGTTGGCGGATCGGATCTCTCTCTGTGCTATAGAAAGGGGAAAATAAAAAACAATAACAACAAAATGAAAGAAGTACAGGATAAAAAAAACTAAAAGCAAAATAGGTTTACAGCCACGTATGCGAAACACACGTCACATGTGGATCTTATAAGCAAGTGAAGGGGGCGCTCCTTTAATTGGCCTAAACGGGTATTTGCCGCTGAGCGACGAAACGATTTTTGGTTCTTAGGGTCTTGAGTCTAAACGAGAGTATAAAATTTCGCCATTCAGTGTATTGAACAGGAAAGACTTTAAGTGACTGTAAAGGCTAGAGATGAGCTGTCTACGTTTGTGGAATCCACATTTTTTTTTTATTATTTTTTTTCAAATAATCTAATTCTATGATGTCACTTTGAAACTGGTGTCAGTTCGAAAGGACCCAGGTTCATGAAATAAGGCGTCTTGTGTTAAAGGGGTTACGTTACGAGAATATTTCTGTCTTAGGTTATTTCTGTGCTTAAGTCATTACTCAGTGCCTTTACCAATACACAAAATGCTCATGTTGCTCAAGATATTAGACAACTTTCATCAGGGAACACTAACCACAATAATATTTTGGTGATTTGTGCAGGCATTGCAATAAAATTTGAAAAAGTCGGCCCAATGTTTTCAAGAGATGAGAGATGAGCTGTCTACGTTTGTGGAATCCACATTTTTTTTTTATTATTTTTTTTCAAATAATCTAATTCTATGATGTCACTTTGAAACTGGTGTCAGTTCGAAAGGACCCAGGTTCATGAAATAAGGCGTCTTGTGTTAAAGGGGTTACGTTACGAGAATATTTCTGTCTTAGGTTATTTCTGTGCTTAAGTCATTACTCAGTGCCTTTACCAATACACAAAATGCTCATGTTGCTCAAGATATTAGACAACTTTCATCAGGGAACACTAACCACAATAATATTTTGGTGATTTGTGCAGGCATTGCAATAAAATTTGGAAAAGTCGGCCCAATGTTTTCAAGTTTTAATCCATGCCAATCCTTGCCATCCGTAGAAACAGACGACAGGAAACAGTTTCAGTACCCAAATGTAGTCTTACAGAACAAACCAGGACCTTTTTTAGGGGAATTAAATAGATGCGAAGACATGTTTTAGCTTTGAAAAAAGATAGTGACTAGCGTGACAAAGTCTCTTTAAACAGGGCAGCAAAATATTGAACAATAATTGTCTTAAACTCTGTCTTGATTTGAATGGCTCGACGGCGCATTTCGACCCAAACTTCCCTTAAATGTCTCAACCCCCGGGGCTCATAGGTGATCTTGATACTCTTAACAAAACTCTATGTATTTCAGTAGTTACCATAGTTACCATAGGTAGTCTCACACGAGGGCGTTTCATGAGAAGTCATATTTCCTCCCCTCTCATGCACATTCTGTGTTTGTTAGGAGAAAGGAAATAGGACTGCTCTGAAAACGTTGAGTGGGAGGGACTCGTAGTTAGAACGCCCGCACTATTTGAATCCCACCAGAGACTCAAAAAGGTGGCTTCTTTGTTTCACACTCGGCGATCATAACATATTTCCCGACATTTTCTTAGAATTCAAGATTTTTAAGCTTAGCATAAGAAACCAATTCCACAAAAAATATAATAGAGTAGAGAGACATGCTGCTAAAGGTCTGTAGTCTAAAAGTGGTTATACTCTATACTGAGGGTAAATAGAATTATCATTCGTTGCAAATTCTTCTTCCTTTTCATTGGACGAGAGCCCACCACGTGACTTCCAAAAAACTGCCTAAAAATAATGGTCTGCTCATGCGCAAGTCGTCCAACTTTGTTTGACTTTCACCGGCGAAAAATGTCTGCGCATGCTCTACTAAAAATGACACTTGATCGATTTCGGGTAATGTCATTGGCTCCAACGCGAAACTGCCCGCGAAATGTTGTTCAGATGAGAGAAGCGATGGTAGGTTTTTTGGGCAGTGACAGCGTTGCAATTTCTTGCCATTGTAAGAGATCAAAAATTATTTTGGTAAAAGTTTTGACGGAAGTGTCTTCTCTAGAGAATGTAGCGTCCTGAAACCGGCGAAAAATCGCATTGGCATGGTCTGATTCAGTGTTATTGACGCTGAGATCGCTGGTTTGCGTGAGGAAGACATGCTGAAAAGGTGGGTAATTTTTACTCTTTTTGTTTACTGCATGTTCCTTGCAACTCGGTACAAAAAGAAATTATAAAGTAGTGGAAGAAAAATTATTGGGCTTTGTTTTGGTATATAAATTAGCTTGTACCGAATTGCACGGAAGCGACAGTCTTGTTAAATGCGTATCCCGTTTTTGTGTCAAAATTCGACTTCGATTGTGAATCTAACATTCGATAACATTCGACTGTTTATCGAAGAGCGTATTACAACGCTATTCAAATTTTTTTTGTTGTTTACTTCAAGTTTCTTATCACGGATTCAACAAAAAAAAAAAAGGAGAGGGACAGACATTTTTAAGCTTTGTTTTGTTAATATGACTTAGCTTGTACTTTGTTGCTGGAAAAACTGTATTTAGATGCTAAATCTCCGCGTGTTTACACTGTTTATGGCAGAAAAATAAGCTTACACCTGGTTCAACTTAATCTTGTGTCACTCGGTACAAAAGAAAATTATAAAGAAGGTCAAGAAATATTCTTAGCCGTTGTCTTGCTGTGTAAATTGCCTTGTGGCTAGTGGATCGAAAGCGGCCGGGTTGCGGCAGTTTTCTAAAGTGCGACGTTCAAAACGTGATTTTGTCGATCGATGCACATTTCATTGTTGTTGCACATTATTACAGCTTTGTAATTTGAGTTTTATCCGAACTGTCGAATGAGAAAATGTGAGAGTGTTTTCATTAAAACGCTTAGACCGTCTTGGAGCTACAGTTCGATAGGTCCAGCAACATTCTGATTTGTAAAATAATTCTGTTTACAATGTGCACAGCTGCTGTACATTTAGGCTTGCAATTTTATAATTGAAGCATCGAGGTTTAGATTAATTTGCTCATAAATTTGGTTTGGGATTATCCACACAACGAGTTACTAGCTACTTTCCTCGTTAGGAACTGCAGTTACGGACATGATTTCCTCCGTGTACATTTTTTTTTTTAAGTTTTTGCAAACAAGGTTTTCTGTAGGGGGTGCTTCTTTGCTTGAAAATTGTATCCTGGAAGGAGATGAACTGGGTAATTTTCCTGTGAATGCTTTTGTTTTTCTGTCCATCGTTTTCGGCTTAATTTTTTTTGGAGCAAAGTTATCAATGAATGATAGAGTGAACATGCTATTATGTATTCAAAAGTTCTTTCCAAGAAAAAAAAAATAATCATCACAAATTAAACTTACAGGAGTTTAAAGTTTGGAGTAAACTTTGAGTCTTTATGAAGTTTTAGTTGGATCATGTTGATGAATGTAGTTGTGTAGGATATGCAGTTTCCAATTTTGATCTTCTGCCAAAATTATGAGAGAACACTCAAATACAGATCTCATTTAAACTTTATAGTTTCATTGTAATTATCGTTTGCTTCTATTCCTGTAAACTTATTATCAGGTCTACATTTTGCATGAATTTAATGTGATATATATTTGAAGAGGTTGTTGTTTCACAGTGAAGTAGTTTTTACTTTGTTTTTTTTTTTATATGAACTTGAGTTTCTTCCTAGTTGTTGGCTAAGGCAGTGTTGAGGTATCTGACATGTTAACATACTTTATTGTTCATTTCTCTTCAGAAAAGATTGATTGATCCTGAATCAAACAAAGTGCAGCCTCACAGACAAGATTTTTAACGAACAAATGTGTACTCAAGCAAAACATGTGTCCCTGACAGTGTCAATAAAATTTATTCATGGAAAGATCTGGGTTTTTACTCCTTTGTAGCACTTTTGACTACGCATCACTTTTCTAACCTTTGTACTAAAAAGATATAAGATATAATCAGTATTTTTTTCCCACTAACATATTGCAATCAAAGTTCTCTTCTTTTATATATAGTATTCCCGATTCTCATTATCTTACTCAGATCAAGCACAGTGACCATATTGAAAAGAAAAAAGAAAAAAAAAACCTGCTCGGTCATAGACGGTTTAAAGTTTTGATATTAAAATTGCACCCGTTCATAATGAAAACAACATGAATGCAGACACTAAGGTTCATTTAGCTCATGTTCAAGCTTTTTTTTATAAATTAGAAAGTCTTTCTGGAGAAAACATAATTTTGCTCTATCATTTTGGTAAAAAAAAAAACAACAATAAAATAACTTTTTGGTATCTAAGCAAATTCAAAGTACCCATAGAGTCTTATTTCTCCGCTGCATTGAGCTGTGAACAAAGGCCGTTCTTTCTAGTGACCCGGCTTTTTTCAGAAATATTGTTGTCCTTCGTGACCGTGACAAGTCCAAAGTTGAATCCGGTAAACCGGCCAAAACGCGAGCATGGCAGGGAACGAATCCCACAGGAATAGGTGAAAATGGATAATAAAAAGTCTAGGCTATTCTAAAAATATCCATATATACATTTGTAACTCATATTAAGCCGCAATTAATCTCCTTTCCACTGGAATAAACAAACGATGGAGGTATTGCCGCCATTTTGAATTTGGCAATGTCACGTGGTCGCGCGTCGACCAATCAGACATTTTTCGCCGGTGAATTTTTGACTGCAAATAATATTCTGCCCATGCGTAAATGACACCACGCTTTTCTCCTTTTTGCGATCGCTTGGCAGGTCGCTTCGCTTCCCGAAGATATTCCTTTAAATAAAACTCGGTGATCGAACGATAAAACAGTTATTGTACTCGGTTATCGCAAAATATCGTGATTTGTCAGTGTCTCACGATGTTTTGCTCAACCCTTGTCCAATAATTGTAAATTACCTATAACTAACCCGAGCCTACTTATACTTGCTATTATAGCTCCAGTGAGTGGATATGGTACAGATGACATAGAAAAGGCGAAGTGTGGATATGCCACATGTCTCTGCGATATGGAGATGATTCGATGTTTTAAACACTATAAGGAAGACCTCGACTTGGATAAGTACCACGGATGGGAAATACTTCAAAAGAAATCATGTGCTTTCAAAGGTAACATTTTCTTTATGATAAAGGGCTTTTTATATTGATTCATTCAAAATACTTTGCCGTTTCTATTTGGCTTAAAACCCCGGGATAATTCTTCAAACCAAGTTGGCGCTATCCAAAATTGTGGAAGACGGGAGCAAAAAGGCAATATAAAATTATTACGATGGTATATTGCCCTAATATACAATCGCGTGAATCTCTTTACCAGACAGCAGTGTGGCGGCGGCCTAGCATTTTTGCTGTTTAGGTAAGAAATAAAAGAGAGATAACAGCTATCCCATCACGACATTGGAGGGATAACTGACTAAAATGAACGGAATAAAATTAATGCAAAAACACGTAAACGTTATTGCTCGATTGATGTCATGGTTGTGTGCCGACTGAAAACTTTCAGTAGCCTTAAACTTTCACGTGATCCTATTCAGACAGGGCTTATCATTTCCAGTATCCAGGCATTACTGGATTAAAACAATGACGTAATATGCTTTTACTATGATGTCATATATGTATTTTTAATTTTTCTTAATGCTACTGTAAGACAGGAGCCTGGCACCTGTGTAAGAGCACTGAGACTTTGCATAATAATCTAAATATATTATTATTATTATTATTATTATTATTATTTTATTAACTAATTAATTAATTAATCTACATCAACTTTTGCCCTCAAAGGCAATAACACTTAAACATAAACAAACCCTTTTTTAAGGAAACAAGCAAATTTTTAAAACATGGTTGTCAAAACTCAGTTGCAATGGTAATGACAATGTTTACGTGCACGTTGCGGCGAAATTTTTAGGAGAAGTCACTAAATTTGGTGGTGATAGCTTAATCGATTTTAAAGTTATTCAACTTTTTCGTGAGTTGGGGGGGGGGGAGGTCGAAAGCCCCCTTCCTGTGTGAATAGTGTTAAGGTGTTTTTATGTTTTTGTTTACAGCACGCAGAGACATATGCTTTAAAGATTCTTGCTACACATTTACGCCAACGGGAAATACATGGCCAGAGAACAGAAAAACCTGTAAAGACAAAGGGGGAGACTTGGTCGCTATGGAAGAAGAAGAAGAGTGGCAGTTCGTTAATACAGAAATTCAGAAACGCACCATTCCGAAACCCATGGAATATCACATTGGTTTGTTAAAAGAGGAAGGAGTTTGGAAGTGGGTCAATGGACGACCACTGACAATTAACAAGTGGCAAAAAATAGAGCCAAATTATCGGCAGCCGTCTGGTGATGGAGATGTGGCGGTAATGTCGAAGGATTACCCTGAATTCACGCAAGGATTGTTTACTGACCTCCCAAAAGATATGAAGAGACCATTTATATGTGAAATACCAAAAGGTAAGAGGAGTGAGCCAAATTTATGAGTAAGAAGTTTCTTGAGAAGTTGACCTTCTGTATCTTAATCTAATGTAATATTCACAGATTTCAGATTTTCTCAAAACAGAAACCTGTGAGGACCCGTCCACACGTATCCGAGGTGCCATTTTCGCCGACATGCTCTCATTCAACACAACTTTTTCCACGAAATTCGAACTCCAGCGGAAAATAAACATTTTCTTGGCCGCGCGTTGATCTGGCCCGGCTGCTTCGGCGAGCGTATTCTCGGTGTGTTTGGATTATATTCTTCGAGTTTGTCAAAGTCTGTGGGATTCGTTTCTCTATCTGGGAAAGTTTCATTGGTTTCTATATCTGCTTCTATCCTATTTCTCCGATCCTGGCATGTTTATTTTCCGCTGGAGTTCGAATTTCGTGGAAAAAGTTGTGTTGAATGAGAGCATGTCGGCGAAAATGGCACCTCGTGTTTCCTACCTTGTATATTATTATTGTAGATAGAGTGAATTTGAACAAATTACTGCAAATTATCACGAAACTTCGTTGGAGCAATAAGGACAACAACAATTAACTGCAGAGTAAGTTTCATTGATCTTTATTTAGTATTTCCTAGAAATTTTAGGATGATATCTTTACCCCATACAAACACTGTAATTTTACTGGAACCGTACTGTGGTACTATCACAGAGCCTGGGTTACCTGTGGTCAGTATGCAGAAAACAAGGAAAGCTTATCCTCTGACAGGAACACCTTATCTAATTAAACAAATTCGGCACAAATTCGCCAATTTCCTTCATTATAAATTTTCGGCCACGTGAAATGACACGTGACCAGAACTTAATATCCAACTATCTCACGAAGGGGGGGGGGGGGGGGTGAATAGTGGTAGGTGGATATATATCGAGACACAAGGCGTCGAGGTATACATCTAGCGCTGTTCACCGACCCTGAGCGGGATAGTTGTTTTAGTGTTTACCAACTCAGTTGGAGAAAAATGAAAAAGGTACCTTTTTGTAATTTTAAAACGTCACTTAGTAGGAACTTTATTTACAACTGACAAACATTTCGGCGATTTTGTCAAGTGCATTTTTACGATTTTGTTGCAAATTCAGCATGAAACAGTGATCTACTACCTACCAGTAAACAGCGGCAAGCCAAAACTAGTCGCTTTTTTGGTATTTGTTTGTACGACTGCTTCATTTATCGCTTAAATTTCGTGTTCCGAAAATGTCTCAAAGCGAGACTCCATCTTGGCTCCTGTCGCAAAACAGTGAATAGTTAACAATTATTCTTTGAAATCGAGGTGAATAGTGGCAAAATATTTACCGAGCCGCGAAAGCTAAATATTCCCAAAGCCACTATTCACCGAGATTGAAAAGAATAATTGTTTTAGTACATAATCAGGAAGTGATCTCAACAAAATCAGAGAGAAAACCATTAAAAAGCACAATTTGATTAACAGATCAAATCACGCGTAATTTTAAAAATAGATCTTTGCAGAATTTTCAAACATGGCAATTCACAAGTTTATTATTTCGCAAATAACAGCGTAATGGCTTAAATGGAACCGCTAAAAGTTTGAACTGTTTCCTTACCTGAGAAGAAAAGTAGAGCTTTGTTGTTTTCTGTTGACTCGCCAAGTTTATAGCCAAAAGGGTTTGTTGTGTCGTTCTTCGCATGATTAGTGCTGACAAAAATGGTAGCTCGGTTGCTCGAGGTAAGACGTCGTCTTCCTGTATCATTCTTTTTCCAATTTACTTGAAACGTAGAATTTCTGCTAACATTTCCTTTTAAATTTGTTTGTCATAAATAAACTTCGATTTTTGAGACAAAATTTTCTTGTTAGAAAACGCTGAGTTTTTCACGAAACGGCTTCTTCTACGCGAACACACAGGAGTTGTAAACAATCCATCGAGCACAAAACTCAGCTACAGTAAATTGAAAAACGCCGTATTGAATCCTTCCAAGTCTTTTCTTGCCTTAAAAAAAGTCAGCCCTAGGATTTTGTCGACTTTTAAAAGATCGTTCTCTAAAAAAATGGGAAAAACACCAAGCTCACACATTATCCACTCGCTAGGAGGTGAATATTGCTGAATAGTCCGAGATAGCGAACCAATCAGATTGCTTAAATCACTAAGATCACTGAGTGTGTATATACTAACCAAGGATATTCCGAGTTAAGGGAGCCAATCAAAACGTGCGAAAAGTGCTATTTACTGATTTGGTAAATACTAACGAGAGATATTGCCAATCATAGATATTTTCCGCACAAACCTTTGACCCAGACCTTAAACTCCTTGAGTTATTTTAGGTTTGTAGACTAAGGCTAGCAATGTCCCGGATAACCTTCTTATGTTCACCTGCCGGCCTCATTTGCAAATCACTTCTTTTTCTTTTTTCTCTTTCCCTTTCACATTCATAAATTCTTTAGATTCTAGTTCTATTCTCAGACGGGAATTTAGAGAATGAAGATGGGAAGATTTTGGACACCTTCAAGCTTCGAAATACAGAAAACCTGTTGAAAGTCACAAACAAGATCCAAGTCATTGGTGCTCTTATTCCCAACAAAGACAATACACAACGAATACAGGAGCTAAAAAGTATCGCCTCTGAAACAGATGACGCCATTTATGCTGATTTTTGCGCTCCAAACCGTGAAAAAATCGCAGATCGTCTTGCGGCTCGAATTAGACGATATTTGGTCTGCAAAGGTATTTAATTCAGTTAGAATTTTAATACTACTGAATGATGTAACTCGCACGAGGAAAATCTTAATCTGCTTACCCTTTTTTTGATTTGTTGTGGCGACGCCAGAACTTTAACTCGCATGTTTCTGTAAAACCAATCTGTTTTAAGGAAGCAGTGCCGTAGCCAGACCAAACGGCCAACCGAGGCAGGCGGGAGTTGCTAGGGGGGTTCGGGGCATGCCCCCCCCGAGAAATTTTGAACTTTAGTCTCTCGGAAATGCGATTTGCAGCGTTTTCTTTCGGCCTTTCGGTAACTTTTTTTCGAGTTAATTTAAGTGAAATTTAAAAAGCAATAATCAGAAACAAGCTACATAATCTGGGTGACCGTTAACCTCGCCAATGGTTTTGATCAGTATTTGTTCAAAAAAAATTTGAGTTAACGTACGTAGCCCCTTGAGATCGATGATATGGTAATTTTTTCATAGTATATTGACTGAATTGCTGAATTCTTTGTAATATCATGATGCGTTAAACATATCCGATGATCGCTTATGTAAAATAAAAATGATCGGCCAAATTCGTCAAAATTTTACCGAGGTGAGTGCCTCGGTTGGACTCTTACTAGCTACGGCGCTGGGAAGCACGTTAAGGTACGTTCGATTGACCGTATCCTGGAAAAGGAAGACATTCTAGATTTTTTGGGAATAGTCTTAACTATCAATAAAATGACTTTTTTATTATTATTATTATCTTTATTTTTAGAATGTTTCAGGGTAGTTTGTTTATTTGGTATAACAAAGTCTCGGTTTTTGTTTCACAAGTATAGCATCAACCAAACACATTGTAGAAGGGGAATCTATTTTTCTTCTTCATTTTTTTTTTTTTTTTTTTTGAACAAGAAGAAGAAGAAGAATACTTTTTTTAACTCATCAGGCATATCTATAATAATTAATTAAAATTTAAAATTTAAAATTACAAACAATTTTATATATTACTACTTTACTTATTTACAAATATAAAATATAAAACCCTGCTTTCCACGAGAGCCGTACATTACTAATCTAAAAACTATAACTAATTGTAGTAAAATGACCCGACTACCGCAGCCCGGCTTTGAAGCTTTCTAGTGTTTTTGCTTGCCGTAGCCCAGCTGGCAGACTATTCCAAAGCACCGCACCAGTATAGCTAAAGCTATTTTTCAAGTAGTTTGTGCGGGGCTTTGGAATATTTAGTTTGCCCTCGGCGTCTCTCAGGGAGTATACGGTGTCACGGTATATAAACATGGATCGCATATATTCAGGAGCGAGTCCATTTAAAGATTTGTAAACCATGACAGCCTAAAGAAGAAGAACTAAAGGAAAAATCAAGGGAAGAAATGGTCAGATAAGTCTGTTCCTCATTTCCCTCTTTTGAATTTATTGTCACCGAGGACCTCCGCCATAATGTTCGTGTTAGCTGCGACGCAAGAAAAACGACATCATTATTTCATTTGTCATCTTTGAAATAGTAAGTTCATTTTAGTCCAGAATTGGAATAGCAGGTCAATCGAACGAATATTGCGGTGTTATTCTATGTCTTCCATATTCTGGTATGTTCCAGAAGATGGTCAATCGAATGCACCCTAATTTTACTAAATGGAAAAAAGAGGGAGAGAGCCGTGAGTGTTCTGTGTATAACGTCAATCAAATGGCCGCCATCTCGGTCGCCATTCTGGGTTTTACTCAGATAAAGGTGACTCGGGCGCAAGCATTTAGAACTCATAAAAAAATGACAGTGCAAAATTCAAAAAAAAGGTTGGTTTATTAATTTAACCTAGAGTTCAATAATCTTTCATTTGACCTGAGTTTTAGGTATCTGCAGTTTAACTGGAATTCCCTAAATTACTTGCACCTCATGACACACCCCTGAAAGTATCTGGTAACTCGATCGTTGTCCGTATCTTCGTTCATCGCGCACTAATTACTATGTTCTTTAAAACTTTCAACAGTAACGTACAAAGTCGAAGTTTACACTCCAGATGAATACGTAAACAGAGAATTCACACTGACTGTTAGGATTAAAGGAAAAGGCGGAGAAAAAACCGAAGATCAAAAGTTGTTGCCAACAGAAGGCAAACAGGGGTATGGTAGTCCTATCTGTTTGTTAACAAGATACGAATTCGCCCCGGCCCATGCAAGATAACCCAAGACAGTCTTGCATTCTGGATTTCACGCTGTGGATTCCGGATTACAGGAACTTGATCACCACCTTTGCCAGTGGAACTTGTATTCCGGATTCTAATTATTAGCCAAGTGTGATTCCGGATTCCTGAGGTGTATTCTGGATTCCAAAGCCCTGGGCCCAGTTGTTCGAAGGCCGATTAGTGCTTAACCCAGGTTATTTTCTTTTTCAAAAGCATTTTTTCCGACAATTTTCTTTGTTTGTTTTTTTTTTTTGCTGAACATCCAATCATCAACTCGTTGACAAAAAGAATCAAACTGAATTTACTTTTTTTACGCTTTTATATCTGCATTCAAATTTTACGCTAACCCTGGGTTAACCCAGCTTTGATAAACCCGGCCCAGGATTCCAGATTCCACGAGCAAAAACTCCAATTCCCGAATTCCGGAATCGTAGTCCCTTACATAGGTCTGTTAACTTAGGAAACTTTCTCAAAGCGTTGAAACAGTAGGTGGCATTGCTTGTACCAGAGAGTTTTCACTCATATGGCCAGCATTTACGCAAATTTATTGGAACGAAAGAAAGCGTTGACATAAGAAAAGAGTTCAACTCCCTTTGCTGGAATCGGTTTAGAACACCAACGTGGGCGCCGTTTCATTGTTTTGGACGCCGCGACGTCACTTGAAAGCGCTCTAAATGAAAGACTTCCCCAAGCGGTCTTTACTTTCATGGGTTTCTTCTCTCGGAAGAGGATTACTATTTAGTTGCGGAAAGGCTAATGTATTTGAAATTCTCACTGTTTTAGATCAATTTGAGTTTTCCTGACCATGTCTTTAACGGTTGTCGATTGGTTTGTCCTTAGGAACCTGCTCGTGATAAAAGCAGAGTTCTCCGATATTGATGTGGGCACCATGAAGACGGTTGAGATACTACCAGATAGAAAAATCCAAGGAAATCGTGGGTGGACCCTTAAACAGGTACTATATGATATCAGATCCCGACTATCAGATTGTTTGCGATAAAAGTACAATGTAGTTTAATATGAGGTGGGAAGCAGCCGTTGTAGAAAAAGATGGTTCTTTAGATCTCTTTTTTTTCAAAAGTCAAAAGTCTCGCAACGAGGATGTCACCCTGCAAGAAAAGAAAAAAAAAGGAAAAAAGTCCCACAATAGCTTACAATAGGTGAAACTGATAAAAAGAATATTTGCACCACCATTGATTATTGTTCTTCACTAGCTAAAATACTCAATATTAATAATATTCATTACTGACTAAAATACTCAAATACGACTTTATTTAATCGATCAGCCGACGTAATGTTATCAATTTCGCTTGGCAACGCCCTCCAGTCCTTAACAGTTCTACAAAAATAACTAGCTTTACATGTCTAAGTTTCTGGTAGTAGTTCAATAAACTTGTTCTGGCTATATAGAGTTCCTTAAATGCCTTCTACGTTTTCTGAATTAGGGTCGTTCGGTTGAAAAAAATAACGTACTCACCAGCATCATTGCCGTGGAGAGTGAAAACAACAACACATGGAGACAAAATCAAACCGCGTACCGTTCTCTCTGTTAATAGGTGAAAACTAGAAGTTGGTGCTATGAAATACTATAACAATGCTCATACTTATGATTTTAATCAAAAGTATGAGCATTTTAATAATCAGAGTGAAAAAGGAGTAACTACGTAATTAATTACTTTAGAAAATGCAATTTAAAAAAGTCAGGTCGGTCGGACGATGCTAAAACAGGAAAAAAGGAACGTTTAAGTGCCGAGTAAAAATAGCTGTCTTTGGTTGAATTGGTTATCAGATAAAAGTTACAAAGGAAGACCAAACAATTACTGCAGTGTTTGATGAAGAAGTTCCTACCTGGCCGTTCAATTGGTATTCTGGTAAGTTTTGCCAACAGTAAAATTTAGAAGCAATCTAACAAAACACAAATAGGTTTATTTGTCTTATGGCTTAGCTTTAAGGGGTGGCAAGAGGCACTTACGTCGTAGACAGCCTGATTTGAATTAAGTTCGGTGACGCAAGGCCCCGGAAAACCGGCTGCAAATTTGTAAATTGTGAACAAATAAGAGAAGAATTCGGCTACAACTAGACAGTGAAAAACGCTATATTTCTTCTGCACCATATTTCAATTTTGTAACTTCTCTTTTTTTTGATAATTTTGATATTTTTTGGAGTTTCATTTTCAATTCACAGCTGTGTTGTAAATAATTGTCGAAGTCAGATATTATCATTAGTATTATTGTTGTTATCATAATGACGATCACTACTGTATTTTTACACAGAGAGCCCAGATGTTTGAGCTGTCCACTTAATTGAAATGACCATGATTATGGCATTGTATCATCGCTGAAAGGAAACTGTCAATCAGCGTTTATTAAAGTTCAGAAAAAATAGTGTGTGCTTGTTGTGCCTTTTCCGGGCGGGTTTCTTGGTGTTGTGGAAACCATGGTTCGCACAACTTTCGACAAACAAATTTCAAGGACTTCAGTCAAGGATTTTTCCAGGACAAATTACAGTTTTGAAAGATTACCATTTATTCAATAAATCAGCAAATTATAGGCTAAAACACGTCATGGAATCATTTACGATTTTTACTTCATCAGCCAAGGTTGATCACATTATTTTATACTACTTTCAACAACAACGCTTTGGAAAATGACTGGCTATGACTTACAATTGCATCTGAAGTACAGAAAAAGCATTTAAAAAAAAGAAACAGGTCAGATACTGCTCATACACAAACATGTTTTTAGACAAGGTAGTGAATTTCAAGGATTTTTCAAGACCTAATAAAGAAATCAAGTACTTTTCAAAGACCTTAACCGAATTCAAGGACTTCTCAAGACGACTACTAAAATGAAAGACCTTTCAAGATTGTACAACCGTGGGAAACTATTGTTGGTTCGATTTCCTTTCGCGTTGTGGTGTGCATAGGTATTGTTTAGTGTCGTTTTAATCTAGTTTTGCCCGTATATATTACGTCAGTTGGTCATGGTTCGTACAATCTTGAAAAGGTCTTGAATTTTATTAGTCACCTTGAAAAGTCCTTGAATTCAGTTAAGGTCCTAGAAAAGTACTTGATTTCTTTAACAGGTCTTAAAACGTCCTTGAATTTCTCTACTTTCTTATTTCTGTTTCTTTATTTCAAATGGTATTGCTGCACTTCAGATACAACTGCAAGAGTCATACCCAGTGACTGTTATCATTTTGCAAAGTGTTGTTACGATCAACTATGGCTGACAAAGGAAAAATTACACTGAGTGAGTTTAGCCAGTAAGGGGTTCAAAAAGGGTCAAAGAAACCGAGTTTCTGAAGAAATCTTAGACCTTGAAAACTGTAAGTTGTCCTTGAAAAGTCCTTAAAAACTCCTTGAATTTAGTTTGTCTGAAATTGTACCAACCACGGTTGGTGTTTCCCTCTTCCAGACAAAGAAAGTACCCCGGCTATTCTGTCCTTAATCTTACATGTCTGTAACAACCGCGATCTAGCCACTTTTGAAATTTCAATGTTTGTTTAAATGAAAGAACTCGAGTGGAGTCAATTCCAACCAATGCTCAAGTAACAGCAAAAAATTACAATAATAAACAGCTTGCTACGAGAAACTAAAAAAGAACACATAATAGAACTGTAAACTATTTCCCTGAAACCTCTTTAAAATATCGTAAATTCGAGGCAAAAAAAACAATTGCGAACATAAACAGTTTCCAATTAGCATGCACCAAAACTGACATTTATAACATTAAGTTACGACGATTTTCTTACTAGCGAAAAAATGGTCCCATTCGGGACAACAATGTTTCTTTGAAGCCACAGGAATCCTTCTCTAGGTCGTTCAATTCAGTAACGTACATTTTTCCCGCCGCACAAGCTACACATGTGCATCAAGGAAGCTCACTACGCATGTCCCAGTTCTTAATAGGTTTTGGGTCCTAACAGGTCCCCTTTTCTTGGACCTTTTGTTGGACGGCTCCATACACAACGACACAGAAAAGCTCCTGCTGCGATGTGCTGCCTCAGTGAAAAATCTTCAACCCTGTTCAATCTTCATCTGTCGTTCACGCGCGCGGACAAGCGACTCAAGAGCTCGTGCGCGGAATTCCAGCTCTTTCAGCTCTGCTTCTTCGTCCGCGGTTGGTCCATCAAATTGGCCTGGGTCACCTTTATTGTTTTCTTGCATGGCACTTCTTCCTGCAAACAAAGACACGTGAAGGGAAGTATGGCTTGTTAAAGGAGCCGTGTTACGAAACTTATCAAACTTCAAACAATGGGAACCGCCACTACAGGGTGTCCCAAAAGTTCGTTCCTCTAGTTTGTTGCGCTGTAACTTTTGATCAAGACTTTATTTTTGCATGAAATGTTTAAAAGATGCTTTAATTGCTCTCTCGATTACTTGTATTCAGAAGTTCAGTAACCAGCACTTCAGTAACCAGCATGCCTTCTTTGTTTCTTTTTAATCACATTCCGTTAAGACGTTGCGGCATAGTGTGGGAAACGCGATCTAACGCCAGTAGAGGTCCAGATGATTCATTTTGAGCTTTTCTTATCACGTCAGTGGTACGCAGAAGCCATTTCGACCCCCAAAACATCATTTTTTAGATTAGGCAGCTGTAACAAAATTTGGGGGGCATTCATCCAAAAAAGCCTTTCCACACTAAGGCTTCTTTACAAATTTGAGAAGAGCTGAGCGTAAACGTTGCTTGACGAACTGAGGAAAGCTAAACCTTCGGTTTATTTTCATGAATCTGCTCCAGACTTAGCTTGATAACTGTTGTAAGAAATACCTTGATGAGTTCCTCTGTTGTACCTAGCCTTCTTTAAAATTAGTTTTAGCTGCTTTATTCATGACTTTCGTTTTTCCTCCTTTTTTCTTGTTTTCAAAACCTTCATTTCTTGTTGACCATTTTACCACCCCCAATTTTCTGGATTCGGATTTTTCCAGGTTTTAGCACTTTCTTTATGTGACGAAGCAGTAGATCGAAGTATACCTGGTTATGCTTTCACCTAGCTGAGCGTTTTTGCTTTATCTTTCATGATATTCACAAAAAAGGAGGAAGGCATTCGAGCAATTTGGGCTATAAGATACAAAAATTTGTGGACGGAAATATACTAGCGCACACCCACTTTTGGCGCGAAAGTACACAAATCGAAAATTCGAGTCGAAAGAAGGCACAACAACTATGACATATTAAATTAGATTTAAAACACCAGACTTTTATTTAAACGATTTGCTTATCAAGTCCAACCGCACTGGATTACAGGCTTATACAGCAGAGGAACGAACTTTTGGGACACCCCGTAAATTGAGTGAAACATAAAAATAATAAACAGCTCATAACATTAAAAGAAGGTATAAAGAGAGAGCTTTAGATTTGAGGACGAGAACGACTGCGAGTAACAGAGTTGTGTTAAAAACAAAAAACAAAAAAAAGAACAAGACATCCCGGAAAACTTCAATTTACTTTTTTTTTTTTTTTTATCAACAAAGTTAGTATGGTTATTTATCCTTAAGGAGGTTAAGCCCTCTCCCTATAGCAAAATGGTAAAACTTCTTACATTTGATAACTTGTTCCCGCCACTATGACATTCTCGCTAAAACTCGAAGTAGAATGGCGACGGCTATCACGTTTTCCTGCCAAAATGACGCTGGTTCACGCGTGAGATAATCTCGTCCTCTAAATCGCCGTCGTCTCAGAATCTAAAGCTCTCTCATAACGCAGCAAATACAAAATGAGGAAGACATGGACAAACTTGAGGTGGTATTGAAACAGACTGCAATTGCGTTTTTGGTAAAGTCAATAGCCTCACAGCTTTTCAAAGTTCATTTTTGTGGTTTGTAACGTTTGTTAATCATTGTAATACTTAATTCTGCCGACAGTTTGCTATCTCGAAGGAAGATGATGTGCACTGCCGGAAAACAAATATAAATGAAGTTATAACCATAGCAGTCGTAATCGCAATTCACAGCGGTTAGCATGCATAACTCCACAATTGTTTTTCGGGATTCACTTGTAATACACTTTAGCTCTGGCCTGTTCCTAATGTACGGATACTCGTAGCTCAGTTGGTAGAACAATGCACCGCTAACGCAGAGGCAATGGGTTCGAATTCTGCTGACGCCTTGGTTTTTTTTTTTTTTTTGGGGGATTAATTTGCAATTGCTTTTGTATTTACGATTGCGAGGGCCATAAATTCATTTACTTTACTATCTAGTAGGCGATTCCAGCATGACTAACCACTGATCATAGATCTCAGTGGTTTAAAGCAGCCACGACTCAAATTTAGCCAACATGTTTTCAAATTTGCCGTGTTCACTATTACCTGTTTGAAGTTTACTTTTCCAAACGTACATTTGGAAGTTTACTTCACTTTAAGATAATTTCGCATAGAACGGCAAAATATTGACTAAAAACGACAATAAAATTGTCCACCATAAAGACAGTCAAAAGCACAAAATTAGAGCGCTCGCCCTTCGAATTCGTCAGAGCATTCACATTGGCCGCAGGATGTCAAACATGTTAATTGAAAAAGGTATCTGTACTATCTGTACTCTCTAAAACTATCTGTACTTGACACAAGCCTTCCTTGATATGCGGATGCCTCTGTCACTCTCTGCCCCATGTCGACTGTCACTTCGACCGAGGTGATTCTTTTATTCATGCATGTAAGAAAAGATTAACAGAAAATATGACACAGAAACAAATACGCAAAAAAAAGGGAAGGAAAAATACACAGAAGCATGTGAGCACGAAACAACGTTTAGAACACTAAACCTAATTTTGTGCCGCCTGTTTTTGTTATTATTATTATTATTTCATTTTATTCTATAATTATTTTTTATATACATGGATAGTGCCGCAGCAAGCGAAAAGCAAATAGAGAGGGCTCGTTTGATGCTGTTTTCATTTGCCATTTTCGAGACCGTGCTGTTACTTGCATCGTGGTATTACAAACCTACATGTAGACCTACCTCCAACAAGTTCGTCAATTTCTTCTTGGTTTGGAATTGTAATCATTTCCTGGAAAATGATCATATCATTTTCTTTCTTCTCCTCTTCTCTTCCGGTTTTGATTCTCTCTTGTTTCCTTTCACTGTCGGAATCCTGAATTTCATCGAGAAACAAAGCCATTAAGATCGTGGACAATTCTGCTTTTCAGAAACTCATGGGGAGAATGGATATAAGCTTTGCAGGGTATTGATTTCTGGGATTGTTTGGGTTAAGCCTAGTTCTCATATGCCGCCGGTACTACTCCAACATATGAAGACATAACGCCGACGGCTCAAGAAATATCGCAGGTTTTTAACGCCGGTATGCCTGTGAAGTCGAACTCGAGTCAACTTCTCAGGCATGCCGGCGGTAAAGACTGACATGGCCTCTGTGTGTTGCCGGCGACTTCTGTTCTCACATCGGAACGGTATCGCAGGCAGTACCGGTAGCCGTGTCGGAGTCATGTCGCAGGTGGCTCGGCGGTATAAGGCTTTACCAATCATAAGTAACGTTCGTCCCGGAAACCCTTGCGCTAAAAGCTTGTACCCATTCCCCCCACAGTTTAAAGTGGGAAGTTTACAAGCTTCTTTACAGGTACTTAACATTTTTGTTTACATTGTTAGTTATGGTGTGGTCGTTTGAATTGAGCCACTTAAATAAATCTTTTATTAATCACCGGTACCTATAAGTTTGTCGTGGCCATTCTCCAAGTTGTATTTAAGAACTACTTGATTAACCTTACAGTGCACGAAGTGAACTCCCAATCACTTTTTAAACATTTGTTGATCAAACTCAAAAGAAAATGTTCTCTTGCCAAACTTCATTGTATTCCGTACCACACGCCTACTTCTTCAGTTGACACCTCTGAACTTTAAAGCGATTTATGTGAGTAAGTAACGTTCGTCCCGGAAACCCTTGCGCTAAAAGCTTGTACCCATTCCCCCCACAGTTTAAAGTGGGAAGTTTACAAGCTTCTTTACAGGTACAGGTACAGGTAAACATTTGTTGATCAAACTCAAAAGAAAATGTTCTCTTGCCAAACTTCATTGTATTCCGTACCACACGCCTACTTCTTCAGTTGACACCTCTGAACTTTAAAGCGATTTATGTGAGTAAGTAACGTTCGTCCCGGAAACCCTTGCGTATATATTAAGACTACAAGACATAAGAACTCAGGACATTTCCTTTTAGCAGGCTCACTGTGCTGTTCAATTTGTAGTTGGGGCCATGAATCACATTTTTTTTATTATTTGCTTGTCAATAATTATGTCACAAATTAAAATTTTGCTCATGCTCGGGAAACAGCTTTTAGTTGTGATTTTAATGTAATATCAACTTCAATTCGATTCATTAGTGACTCTTGAGCACTTGGGCTATCTCTGCGCTTCATATTAATCAATATTAGAGAAATTTTAATATGGTAAATTACCAGGTTTCTTATTTTATCCTCCTCTTCATGTTGTTCCTGTGCCACTATTAGTTTTTCACGGTTTTCTGGTTCTCCACTGCTCTCATCTTCAGATGAATCCACATCTTTACCAGTGATGATACTTTCAAGCTGCCTTTTTGATAGTAACTGCAGCTGTTCTGAGCAAAGATTCTTTACTTCCTTGAAGCTTAGCTTCTGAGAGCAATAAAAAATATTTCATAAAACAAGGATTTAACACGGAAAAACTAGAACTTCTCTGGCCCCCTTGTTAGCCTTTTATTGGCCCCTTAAAAGAGAAAAAAGGAAGGCAAGAAAAGTGAAAGAAGAGTGGGGGCAGCAAATCGAGCAAAAGTCAAGATTTGAAATTTGGGTTTCTGCGCATGCCCAAACTTCAGAAACTGATATTTTGCATCTCAAACAGAAGGCCACTAAGTGCCCGAACCGAAAAGTGCATGAGTCACACTGTCAATTGCTTGTGTTAGTTTTAGCCAGACAGTGACGAGAAAACTAAACTGCAAAATTCCGGGGGGCAAATGGATTAAGTTTCAGATTCACTGGAGAAAACATGTAATAAGACAAACACTGCTCTAGCCTTCTTCTCTTCTTCTTCCGAGAACCCTACATCCTTCAAAAATGAAGATTCTTGTGAGGGGTCTTTAAAAGTAAATAAATAAATGAATATCCACTAACATATATAATATTATTATACTATAATAAATTATCTTTTCACAGGTCTTATGGGGGTTACACTGTATGTTTGAGGGTGCCTTTGTGGATGGCATCCTTAAAACAAAAGCCACAGATCATTCACTGACAACGTATCATACTGTTAGCCTCAAATTGCTCACATGTGGTTTCTAGACTAGGTCAGCCTCAAATTTCCCCAACTGGGATTTGCTGTTTAAGGGGGATCTCTAATTCAACCACTAAGGGGCAATCATGGTTAGAGATGCCAGGTACAATGTCTATCTGGCAGATTCTACATGTACAGATGTAGTTGGGTTGTTTGTACACCTAACAACTACATGTCCTCTAGTCAGTTCTTCAATTCCACCATTTGCCTGTGTAGCTAGCTACCGGTAATCATAAGAAAAGAAACAAAAATAATTTATATCTTTTACAAGGTACATATATGTACAGTTCAAGTACCTTCAAAATGTCTGGCATCATCTCTTTCACTTCCTTCTTTGAGATGATTGTAAAGAGCTGTTCATGAAGTTCTGCTTTGTCATCAAGAAACTCTGTTAGAGGTGTGATGCTTTCACTGTCACTCTTGTTTCTTTTACTTTCTGTTTTGGTGCTGTCACTTTCAATGTCCTGTGATGAACTGGATGACTTAAACTTTTTGCTTTTCCCAGACTTACTCCTGTAAGATAAATGGATGGATTGGTCAATAATACATTGAACAATGAGAAAATATTATTTTCAATTATCTGGTTAAACCAGTATTTAAACTTTAAGTGTATAGATTTTTCTCTAGGGTTCCAACACTAATCATAGTTAATAGAGTGGAATGGTTATGAAGCCTGAGTTACAGTAAACACCTGCTAATAAGAAACAGTGGATTAAGAAGCTCCTGGCAAAAATTGCCAATAAGTACCCCAAACCACAAGAACCTATTTTACAGGACATTAGACTTCAAAAAAGTAGGTTCTTATTGGCAGGTGTTTACTGTTTACATATGTTTTTGTGGACCTGGAGGTGTACAAGTTACATTCAATGGCAGTGACCTATCATTTTGATCTTATCGACCAATAAAGGGAGCACATTAATTTATTCAGTCACAATTTGTGAACATGCTGGAAAATAATTTTCCAATGGGGGGGGAGGGCTTCCAAAAACTAAAATCGACATAGCTTACATGTACACCAGTCTGCAGAGTATATGGCAGAAATAGACGAGATCTCATGCATGCAGAACCTGCAATACGATTTTTTATGCCAGAATACGGGTGCATGCCCATAGAGAGGCTAATTATTAAAAGGATGCGAGATTTACATGTTAAGCACATTTCCAGCTGTTTTAGATGACCTAAATTTCAAATTTCAAACTAGTATGTTCATGCTATACCATTCAGTTCACTCAAAAGAAAGGCTGCAAACAAGATTACAGACAAATTGCCAGTCCATTCATTCGTTTATAACCTCACCATACTGATGAGAAAGCAAAAGTAAAAGCAAGGGATGTGGAAAGTGGTAGCCTGCGTAGCTTGGGAGAACCGAGAGGTTAGGACAGATTTGGCAAAAAATATCATGGCTACGCCCCTGAAAGTCAGGTGCAAAACTCTTTGTAGGCCCAACGCTGCTGCGTACAATGTTACGATTTTGTTGTGCGCAAAAAGCTTTTTTAAAAAAAGCTCGCGCGTGCACTTGCCATACTCCGCATACTGGCATGTATGTGCAATATGCAGGACCTGAACAATCGATGAAAATCGATGATCGGAAAATCAATCGATCAATCGATGACAATCGATTAATTACGGTTGATTAGCATCGATTGGCATCGGCCAATTGATGATCAATCGATAATCACACTTAGGTGGTCGCGAACTTTATCGATTGCCATTGATTGGCACTATTCATGTCTCCGTATCTTCAGGTATCGCGGGATTGTACACAGATCGTACATTGTTTTTAAACCTCAGTAGCAAAGTTTGAGAATTGTTCATCGATGTGGCTCCGTGAAAATCAGCACAAATAATTAAGACAATTAACATATCTCGTTGTCAGTGTACAAACTTGATCGATTTAGCTTTGAGTTTATTGCAAAGATTCAACTGACCTGGGACGCAGTCGTCGTTCAAACACGATTAAGCATATTGTTAATGTGTAATGTGTAACTTTATTAGTACTCGATGAAATTGGCAATTGAAATGTTTGACTGAATAGGTAATCGATTGATATTGCATATTGATAACAATCTATTATGTTAATTGATCGATTCCCATCGATTATCGATTGATATTGATAATCGATGATAATCAATAATCACAAAAATTTTAGTGATCGATTGTCCATCGATTATCAATATCAATCGATTAATTGATATCGATTGTCATCGATTGTTATCGATTGCCATCGATTATCGATTTCATCGATTGTTCAGGTCCTGAATATGATATGGAAGGAGATAATGCAATGTGTTTCAACCAAATGTGATCAGCACTGCAGATGGAAATGGAAAATATAGACCTTTGTATTATATAACGCGCAAACATCGAGTGCCCAACACGAATTATTAAATAAGGCTGTGCTCTCAGTCATCATTACCAAGCTCATTTGCTATTAAACTGCATAAAAAATCATTATAAGCTTAATGTTTAGAAAAAAAAAACCTGTGTTTGTGCTTTCTCTTCTTTGATTTCTTCTTCTTTTCAGTAATTTGCGTCGAAGAGTCAGGAGAAACAGCTTTCTTGTCCATGAATAAGCTATAAATTTAAGCTTAAAAACTATAATACGCTCGTTTAAAAAGTGTGGATGCCATGTTTTTCTCAATTGCAGACAATTAAAATTCGCATATTTGAAGTAAATACTTACTCCTTAGTAGCCGCTCCTTCAAATAAAGCAGTATGGCGGACTGAATGGCGATAAATATGAATATACGATCTACGCTCTTTTTTAACAAGCAAATTAATACAAGATCACGGAGAATCATGTAATTTTGTTGTGTGTTTGTTTGTTTTTTGAATTTCGTTTTGTGTATGCCAATTTATCATTTGTCCGTATCTGAAACAAATCTTGTCCCCATAGGCTGGGACACAACATCAAGAAATCCCACGGAAACGCGTGCAGGATATGACCATAATGTTTTAATACGTAAAAAGTACAAGTATTTAAGGTTATGTTGCTCACTGAGTTAAGCCTCACACGTACATGTACAGTGTTTAATCAAAGGTTAGACATCACCGTAATAATTTGTCATAAAAGGTATTTTTTTAAATTCTATAGCGACTATGTTACATTATACTATTTCGATCAGTTAAGCCTATTAAAATTAGCTAGTGATTCCTGGAAACTGGTACAATTAGTGAATTCAGATGTATGATGACAGGTAGCAAAACCATTTTGTTACCTGACCTTGTCACAAAGTGGAAAATCAAGTTGTTACATTTGAACTAATCGCTATTTTCCCTTCAATTACAGGTCCAGAGTCATTGTTGCATTGGCAGAAGAGAGCAGCATTTATATTCCTCTGAATACAAAATCAAATATAATACTTAATTTGTGAACCTTTTAAGCCAATCACCATTTAAAGGAGAAATGAAGTCATTTCAGATAACTAGGTTGTTATGTACAAAGCAATCTACAGGAATGTCTAAGAGTCTTCATCATTCTTTTTTGCGCTGGCAAGAACATGGAAGTTCTGTATCTTCTGCAGCTCATCGACTTTTAGGGAGACGTGTTTGGTACAGCCATCATTTGGGTAGATCATATTACAAAGGCTCCTGGGGATACCAACATTTATCTTTCCGAGGATTTCATACAAGTAAACCAAGATTTGCTGCCCCATTGGCACCACTTGCTGCTTTTCTTGTTAAATTAGCTGGCCCACTATCCAAAGGGATCAAACTGGCTGCTATTGTAGGTGGAAGGTAGGGTTTTACTTTTGATGAACAGTATTTCAATCCCCATCCATACAGCTGCCTCACTACTATTATGATCACTTTGATTATGATCCAGCTCGCAAAATACTTTTGCATGTACATTTTCTTATAAGAAAACCCACTGAATGAGGACATTCATCTTGTTGATAAAGCCCATCACTTCATGGTAATAGAGCACATTTTTCTTTTTAAAGGGCAGACTGGGAGTGTATGTAAAGAGTTTTAGTGTTGAATTCTCACATCTAAAAAATGTTGTAATTTCCTCAGCAAACAACATCAGCAATGTAATAGCCTCTCTACAAGAAAAGAATCCAGCTACATATGAAGTAAATTTAGTTACAAATTGGACATGCGCCCTGCTAACATGACTACCACATCAACCCACCTATTTCATAGTCCTTCAAGTATTGTTTATAGGTGTGATTGCCAGCCAAAATAAATTTGTTCTTCTACATTCCCATGGGGGAAAGGGAACTAGGGAGTCCAAATTGCCACCTCCCATACTTTGCGTTGCTGGGTTCTGCCCATTTCTTCTTGGCTTTTTCCCTTTAGGCCTTCTCTGACTGCAAAATATTGAGCATTGCTGAATAATTTCCCCATATTTTTCCTGCTTCCCCTTTTTAAGAACTCCCACCTCTCACCTTTTCCTCTCCAGCCTTCCTTACCTCTCCTACCCTTGGGCCTGAATTCCCCTAGATATCATCCCCTAGTCCTCCCCCTTATTTTTGCAAATCTGGACCCTCTCTAATGCCTGTCTCGTATACAGTTTGTAGTAATGACATTCAAAATACTGAGATTGTACAAACAAATACCTCATTCCACGTGAAAACACTTAAAATATTGATTTTCCATTTTTCAGGACTTTTCGCAAAAATTGGAAAAACTTATCAGCCAAAAACCGTTTGCAATTGTCTAAGGGGGTCACAGTTTTCATCGGAGGTTTTGGAGGAGCTTGTGTTGGATTTTACTTCTTTCACTTAGAAGAATCACCTGTGACACACAGGACAAGATTTATGCCAATCTCTCACAAGCAAATGGTAGAACTGACTGAAAAGGAGTATAAGAATGTATTGGAAGCATTTGCTGAACACATTCTGCCACCAAACCATCCCGATCATGTGAGAGTTTTCAGGGTTGCGACAAGATTATTGTTGGCTAATCTTGGTGAGGAGATGAACAATTTATCTTGGCAAGTCAACGTGGTGGAAAGTGATGAAATTAATGCATTTGTTTTACCAGTAAGTAGCTACAATATTGCTTTTTGCTTTTTGGTTTTGTTTGTCTGAAATCTGGTCCAAAACTCATCAAGACTTCTTTCAAAATTCTAAACATTATTAGGGGAATATTGTGAAGTTGTAGTGTGAGGTACTACCCCCTGATGTACTGTATAAAATTGTAAAAAATTGTTAAGAACAAGAAATGATACAAAAGTGCTGTCAAGTTCAGGTATTTTCATAATAACTTATTTTAGTCTAATGAGAGTGGCACAGTATGATTGTATGATTTTTATTATAGTAATCAAGTTAATAAGTTAGTGAAAGTTCTAAGTTGACTTTTCATATGTTGTATCTGCAGAATGGCCAGATTTTTATGTTCACTGGAATGCTGAAGCTTTTACACAATGATAATACTCTTGCAACTGTACTTGGGCACGAGATATCGCATGCTATTTTGCAACATGGTGTAAGTGTTAACTTAAAATAATGTCAGGGGATGAATTTTAGACCCAATGTTATTTGGATCTTGTTTACTGTGGGTAATGTCGACCGAGATATCGGTCGATATAGCGGTCGATATAGCGGTCGACACTCGGTCGATAGTCGGTCGACACTCGGTCGACAGTCGGTCGATACTCGGTCGACACTCGGTAGATAGTCGGTCAACACTCGGTTGACAGTCGGTCGATATAGCGGTCGATAGTCGGTCAATAGTCGGTTGATAGTGGGTCGACACTCGGTCGAGACACGGCCGATAGTCGTTCCAGATGTGTCTCGGCCGATATAGCTTTTCGTTCACCGACACTTCGCCGACTTTTCGCCGACATTTCGCCGACATTTCGCCAACACTTCGCCGACACTTCGCCGATACTTGGTCGATAGTTGGTCGATACTTGACCGATGTGTCAGTCAGTAATTGGTCGACACTTAGCATTTCCTACATTTTCCTACATTTTTGCGGGACCACAGGAGCAGCAGATTCAACTTAGGCTGAGACAGGTTCTGTTTAACAGCTAAAACTCAGACGATCGGTGATGATACAAACTGGAAAAAAAAAGGTTATCATGTCCTTAATTCCCAGTGCTCTTCGGTTCTCTTCATAGCGTAATCGCGCCTTGCACTGCCACATGTTCCCCATCGCATGATAACAGTAATTAATGATGTCTTTGCTTAAGAAAAAAAGCCATTGGACTCACCTGATAAATTAACACACGACTAATATTCGAATGACAGTTGACCGATATACCACCGACAGTTGACCGATATACCACCGACAGTTGACCGATATACCACCGACAGTTGACTGATATACCACCGACAGTTGACTGATATACCACCGACAGTTGACCGATATATCACCGACAGTTGACCGATATATCACCGAAATATGACCGATAGTAAGTCGAGGTGCGTCGACGAAATATCGACCGATAGTCTATCTCACTATCGACCGACTATCGACCGACCATCGACCGACTGTCGACCGACTGTCGACCGCTATATCGACCGACTGTCAACCACTATATCGACCGCTATGTCGACCGATATCTCCGTCGACATTACCCACAGTAAACAAGATCCTGTTATTTGATAAACATAATGATATTATGGCCAAAATATTCTTCATGACCCTACAGAATTTTCACTGGCAATTTTCTGTCTAGACTAGTTGGCATGGTCTGAAAATTTAAAAAAAAAAATAAGTATACTAGCAAAGCGACTGCCTCCCTTAAGTGACTACTCATCTAAAACACCAAACTTTTCCCAGTCAAATCACTACAGTAAAACCCTTTCATAAGTGGCCATCTCTTTCATGCAACCACTTGTACATGTAGCACGTCTGCTACCACCCACTTTTTTCAATTGTAGTTTTAGATTTTCCTCCTGTAAGCGACCACGTGAAGCACCGTTTGTTCTCTATGTTCACTGTATTTACTAGACCCGCCTCAAGGAGGTGTTGGCGGGGGAGGGGGGGAGGGTTGGGGTGAAGAACTTTTATAAGTGGCATCATTTGCATATACACGTACTGTAGCCTCCTGCGGGTTGATTCTCGTAAATAACCACATATTAAATCTTTGCATTTTGGTTGGTCAACCATGGGACGTTCGACTGTAATTTCATATTGTGCAACAATCCTGAGAGACTTCTAGCAGTCAATACTGATGGTTAAACAGCAAGGGTTTGCTATGTCATTGTAATACAAGATCAGGGGCTTATTTAGGAATAGGGGTTTAGAAAAGGGGAATTAGCTTTGCAGGCTATGGGAATAAAATTATGTATAACCTGTGATCAGGTGTCCTTCTTCCCGTTTTGTTTGTGAGAAGAAACCAAAAAAAAAACACTCGATCGTATTATTAATAGAATATGAAACAAGCTCGCGCTGTTGAATTTGATTAGGCGATTTTTCCAGCTGTGTTATACATGTAAGTATTCAGCCTCATTCCCAGTCATCCTCTGCAATTTCGGGTGTGACATCACCTGTCAAGCCATCCTCGGAGACCCAGGGCAGTTTTTATGTCAGGAAATTTCATGCTTGGTTCTAATTAGCCTCCCCGCAGACGTCCCGTGGGGTTTGTTCGTCACGCATTCATTTCTCTGTGGGGGAGAAATGAATGCATGACGAATGAACCAAAATGACGTCTGCGGGGAGGCTAGGTTCTAAGCCTCCCCTGGTCACACAGATATGGTCAAAACCTTGTCTTTTTTTTCCCTAAAATCTAATGTGGATTTCATTTTGCACCAATGAAAACAGAAAATCAAAGTTTTAGCTCTTTACTAAAGCCTGAAGTATAATAATTTCCATTAAAACTGCCCTAATTGTATTTTTTTTTTCTCAATATGGCAGCCAAAATAAGGCCTAAAATGCTTTTCAATACACTTTTAAAAATAAAACCAGACAATAAAGAAAGAAGAAGTTCTAAGAAGAAATAAAGAATAAAGTAGGGATCTTGACGACAATATTCACGGCGAGTTACCCATCCAGTTCCTAACCCTACGCAACAGGGTTTAACTTGAGTGCACTACTAAGACACGAGTTTTACGAGGGTTATTGCACATGTATTTTAAGTAATACTTGTTGTTATTTCAGGCAGAGCAAGTAAGTCTTCATGGCTTTATAAACATGTTTCTCATCATCTCACTGGCAATGCTCTGGGCTTTGTTACCTACTGATTTGATTGCTTTTGGTGCTCAGTGGTTACAGAACAGAATTCTTGTGGTAAGACTTTTTCTACAGTGGCCTGCATACATGTAGATGGTGGTTAAATTGTTTTTGGGGAGCAAGCTAAGGTGCGGGAAAATGATATTGCACAATAGCACCACTGTTTATACAGGCTATCGTTGAATTGTATAGTACTGTGGCCATTTGATATCAGCTCTATTATTAAGGAGACTTTTAAAACCCCAGTTTTGCTGCTCATAACATATGATGTTTTTTAACTTGTTTAACCTCAGTGGCTGGCTCATCATGACCCTTAGGGAAGTGGTTAAAATTTACATTTTTCAGCGAGGGACCAAAAGGCACGAACTGGAATAAATGGAATGGAATAATGACACATTTACAAGAAAATTCATTTTACTCTGATTTATGGTTACAGTACTTGTAAATTGTTTTGTACACTGATCAGCGTAATTTAATTGTCCTCATCAGATTCTCTTGCACCTCCCTTACTCAAGAAAATTAGAGGAAGAAGCAGATGAGGTTGGCATGACGATGGCTGCTAGGGTAAGAAGAAACCATGTAGTTACGTTTCTAGTAAACAGTGTGGATTTCCAGGAGAATACTTTTTTCTAGTGCTGTTCTGCTTGTAAATAGGTTAAGCAAGGTCGGAGAAAAATACTCAATTTAGCATAGAGTGACATGACATGATCTGCCCTTGAATCATGCATGAAAAGGCTAATCAAGGTTTAACACTTTCGATTACCCTACTCATACCTCAACCCTCTCAGCTACCAGTGGGAAAACTAGTCTCATGTACCAATGGTGTTGTCATCAGTTCTAATGTGCAAAGATATCATTTCAGAGATGGTATTTTACAATTTGCCCTGTACTGACGCCAGAAGAAATCACCATGTTCTACACTTGTTTCTCCTCGCACCTTTGCGCGTGAGAAGTTTCGTCCCAAGGGGCGAGGGGCGAGGAGAATGGCTGTTTTCACAGGCTACTTAAAATTGCAATTAATAACTCAAGATAATGCTAGGAAATTAGTGTCTGAATTGTCCCTTATTGTCTTACCGCCATTTTGAAGTGACTGTACCTTAAATTTGACGGAAACATCTTGATATAATGCGGAAATTTTCTCCCAACACTTTTGGTTTAATGAAACATAAAAGTCTGTATTTCAGGGTATTTAACTCCAGCAAAAATTTCATGCCACATAGTATTGAAGAGTAGTTTACTGTATTGATGTACGCGTATATTATAACAAACAGGCATGCTTTGACGTTCGTGAAAGTCCCAGATTTTGGTGGCGACTCGCAGCCGCACAGGATAAAATGGCCCAACCTGAGGCACTAAAATGGTTATCCACTCATCCTTCCCACAGTGACAGAGCTCAAAAACTTGAAACTTTACTGCCAAAGGTAAAAGTCGTTAACAACTGTAGGGGTGTGTAAAAATGAATAGTTTAGTGATGTCCCATTAGTGCTTGAATTAGCACAAGTTAATGGAGGGCTTATTTGAAGTCATGGTGGGGTGCTTACATATTTGAAGTGGGTTCCTCAAAAGGTCGACGTCAATTTGGCAGTGTTGAGTCATAATTGACATAATTGTGCTTGTGACATTCATCGTTCAAACTGGATAAGTTTTATTTTATGTGAAATTGTCATTTGTCAATGTCCCGCTGTCAAGATTTTTTTATCACATGTATTTGTTATTCTTTGCTTTTAAACATGTTTCACCATTATTTTTTTTTTCTTCAGGCTCTAGAGGCCAGGACGAAATGCAGATGTCCACCTCTCGCAGGTAAAGTTTCAATCGTATACATTCTGTATCGTAAATATACAGTGTATATCGTATGGCACCATCAATGATATACCACGCTCTAACAGCATAAATGTCTAAGTTGGCACTCTGCACTCCAGTTGGTTTCCAAACTATTTATTTCGGCATATTCCAGCAAGACCTTACCTCTCAAGTTAGTGTAAATAAATCATTGTTCTACATGTATAAAGTGAATGTAACTATCCTCGCAGTTAAATGAACAACCTAAGCGGTTGAAAAAGAACTTGAAAAGAATCAGAAATAACCGGAGGAGGAAATCGAAGCCCAAAAGGCTTTTTCGAATTTTAAGTGCAGATGGGCTTTCTTCACGCCAAGAGTTTTTCAAGTTGCCCCTATTCTTAACCCAGTTCTTGGTGTCTGGATATCAGATAGAACACTCCGAGGTTTTTATAATTATAGGTTTCAAATGAATCCTTGAATTGAATTGATCCTTGACGAAAAAACCCGCTATTTTTTAGTAAGTTAACTAGTATGCGTTCAAACGTCCTTTGCAGCAGTTTCTTAGTTTTCTAGAGAGAATAATGGGTCAGAGAGTGAAACGCCGTGTCTAGCCCTTAGGATGTCTGAATTTCACCGATTAAACACTTGAAATTATTTGGAAGCTGGATTCCTGAGAGGTCCGCAAATTTTTATTCAATGTTGTCAACAGAGAATAATTATTAATAATAGGACATCATGCTCTCTCGGTGTGTCACCATTTGCATCATGAGGACGTGGTGGCGTCTCAAACAATCGATTCAATTGTGCGGACGTCCCAGGAATTAGGCTTCCGTTTAATTACAGCCTCTAAAAATAACTTAACTAAAATTGACATACCCCTTCATACCCTTTCTCTCTATCTTATGATTCTCTCTTACTTTTGATGAATTGTTTGATGAGTTCATGCAGTGATGTATGAATCCGGCAATTTATCGCCTTACATTTTCATTTCTTTAGGTGAAGAAACGTTTATATCCCGGGAAGATCAACTTCCGTTAAGAAGACCATCGCCACCTCCATAATGAACAAGAAATTTAGATAACAGTTAAATATAATATAATATTAGAATTATAATAGTTTGTTTTCATTAGTGTGCATGTGGGAAGCCTTGCACTTCAATATATTTTGTGTCGCAAAACTTCTGCAACCAGTAAAAAAAAGGCAAATCGTGTCCTTTTCCTTACTTTATCTCTTTCTAAATACTTAGACCAAAATTAAAGCTATAGAAAATAACGCTCATAATATCATACAACCAGCGACAGGGAATATTTAAACAGTGTTTTGTTAGCTACCACAGAACACATTTTGAAATTAGAAAAATGTCCTGCAGTTCAAATTCGTATACGTTCCCTGGTCCAAACTTCTAGTATCAGTAGGTTTGGTGACAACAAATGGTTTACATGGTTCCTTCAATCTTAAACAGGAGTCGTGAATGTAATAAGTCGTCTTGAACAGTCCTTCAAAGTACTTATTGTTTTTTTCTTTCTTTCTTTCCTTGAAATTTGCTACCTTGTTACGCCAAACCATTCATTTTTTCTGTAAAATTAGATTATTTCGCGGATCTTCGGTGTAAGAAGCTGAAAAACTCACGCGTAACGTAAAATCCTTTTTTTTTCACTTTAGAATAAAGATAAGCGGAACAAGTTTAACAAGACGTTTCGATGTCGCCATGACATCATTATCAAGTTACAAAGATAAAACTAAAATTGTAAAAAGGAACACTTTTGCACGTGTAAACAAAAATGTGTTAAACAAACAGTTTTGTCCGGGTGGAATGTGATTGTGTGTGTAGGCTTGATTTCTTCCTCTAAAAAAAGCACTTTTTTTCTTTATTTCAAATGCTAATCCTGTACCGCCAGTGAGACTGCAAGTCACAACCAGTGACTGTTGCCACATTTTTGCAAAGGAGGCATAAAATAATTTGATGAACCATTGCTTAAGAAGTACTGAAAATCTTTTACGACTCCATTGTGCGTTTCAGCAAATGTGTGAATTTAATGATTAAGTAACTAAGAATCACAAGTAAATGTATCAATGCAGTAATTACATACATTTTATTTGGTTTGTAAGGTTGAAGATCAATTTTAACATGCCCGCGGGTAGCTACGCTAATCTAGGCGGGACATGTTTTCAGGAAATAAAAACAACTAAAAGTGACTTGAGACCTAATAAACTAAAACTGACGTAATAACTAGAGACTACTGATAATTAAAATTGAACAAAGGCCTTAAAACCTTCACAACGTATGGGAGGTTTTGACTTATGGATGACAGTTTTACAGTGAAAATGACCGGCTGACTGTCGTCAGCAATGATAAGGCAAACAGTAAGCAATTCCTCTCTTTCCTGTCGCATAAAGTCTACTCGCAACATAAGTATTGTTATCCAGGACCTGAAAAGAAAAAAAGAAACAGAGACTTCAGAATCAAAATCAGAATGTTTAAACAAAAAAGCTATTGTTGCATAAATGTAATATGTTTGTTTATGTGTGGTAATTAACCTTCTTGCGAGCTATTAGAGAGATTAAGGCTCACGTTTACATCGAACAGCAAACGTCAGATTCAAGTTGGATAACACTAGCTCGAAACTTTTTATTTTTGTGTTGAAGTAGCAAACAGTAAGCGTAATTTAAAGGGAAAACTTGGTCACGTGGTACAAATTCACGTTTGTCGTTTGGCGTAAACATGACAAAAGAGAGATTAAGATTCACGTTTACCGCAAACGGCAAACGTCAGATTCAAGTTGAGAATTTCTCAGAATGGAAAATAAATGGATAAAAACAGTCCCGAACGATTCCTATGGTTAAAACTGGCGTAAAACTACTTATTTCTGGGTAGAAGCAATAAAGAGTGGGGACACGGAATTAAGGGGTCACGTGGTACAAATTCACAGCTGCCGTTTGGCGTAAACGCGAATCTTAGGCTGCGTGCAAACGGGCGCAACAACTCCCAACATTGTTGCGCCAAAAATGTTGGTAGTTGTTGCGTGCGTGTTGGCAGTGGTGTGCAAACGGATGCAACAACTCCCAACAATGTTGGGACCTACAGTGCATCGTGGGAAGAATACAACCCATAAGTCTTTGTAATCCATACGTAATGAGCGTGCGTGGCCCCAACAATGTTGGAAGAGCTGTCCAAACGGATCCAACATTGTTGCGCTACGCTTCGGCGATCACGGAACAAAAGAAATGTTGGGAGTTGTTGGCTGAAAAGTTTGACCGGTTTCAAGCTTGGCGCAACAACTCCCAACAGCATCCAACAACATGCAACAGGGTGTGCAAACGGACGCAACATGTAACATCCAGCAATGTTGAGAGTTGTTGGCCAACAATGTTGCGTCCGTTTGCACGGGGCTTTAATCTCTCTAAAGACTTTTAACGTGAAAGGAGCAGAAAGGCTAAAAAGCAAAAGGAGTACAAACTCCAGAGAAAACGAACAAACTTAACTCCTTTACTTGAAACCCTCGCCTTTACAAAAAAAGAGATCTGCTTTATTCAGGTTTTACTGTAGCTGTAGCGTGTACGATAAAATACTCATTTTAAGTTAGCTGGATTCCTCTTTCCCGATAAAAATTTTCAGGAAGGCTTGTGGCCTTCGTCGAGAAGGGAAGAATCAGTTGGTAGATCGTGCAATATATGAGCGAGGACTCAGGAAGCTAGCTGATGACAAAAAAAGTTTGCTTCATCTTCATGAAATTATTTTTTGCTTTTGGCGAGTTAAAAAAAACAAATTCAAACCAGTCAATTTAATTAATGAAAAGATCATAACAGATTAAAGCATCTACGCTAATTTTAACCCTCCATACATTTTATTGAAGTCAGTCTACTCTGTCGATTGATGGTAACGATTCTGTGGAACATGTCGTAGACTGGGACGAAGTAGAGCAGCTGGCCTGAAATAAGAGAAAAACGTCAGTGATTGATCCTCATTAAAAAGACCGCTGGAGGAAGGGAGACTTATGATAATCAGAATCCGGAAAATATACGCTACCACAACACTACTACCACCAACCAACTACCAATACTAGTACTACTACTACCACGACCACTACAACTACCACTGCCACACCACTACAGTACTACTACCTACTACTACTGCTGATAATGAATTCGAAGGAACATCATGTAAATAAGTTAGTTATCAAGTTTATTTCCTCCTGTATGAAAATACGTGATTCACTGTTAGTAATGTAGCTGAATTTTTTAGTTTATTGTGTTGTTTGTTTTATACTTTGATTGTAATAGGCATGCTTTTGCAATACTATACAATGATGCGGTCATGCAAATAAAGCAATTTATTACTATACTGTTACTTCCACGACCACTACAACTACCACAGCCACACCACCACCACCACCACTACCACTACCACTACCACTACCCACACCACTATAACTACTACTACTACTACTTCCACTTCCACTTCCACTACCACTACCACTGCCACTGCCACTACCATTACTACTACCACTACTACTAACACTACCACTGCCACCACCGTTACCACTGCCACAACCACCACTTTTCTACTTCTTCGTCTGCTGATGATTACGTTGACATTAACAATAATGATAATGACGATGATAATAGTTATGACAATTGATAATCATGATGATGACGGCGACGATGATAATGATGATGACATTTTTACTAGTTAATAATGCTTAAATAATAGTTGGAGTTGGGTCGAAATTGAAGTTATAATAAAAATGATGACGATGATTATAGTCATCATGAAAATATTGTTTGTCTTTACAGTACTGCAATGGCTGTATCTTAGTATTTTTTATATGATACCAACATAGCTTACACTGCTTACAGGCACTGGCTTATAAGGGGACTTCATCCTCCTTTGCTCCACTTCTTCCCATGGGGTATTAACCAAAAATGAGTTGTTCCTGATGCAAGGGAAATATCCCTTCTTGTATCCCAGTCTATATTGCGGTGTACGTTCCAATAGCTGTAACAAATCACGAAAAAATATATTGATATGATATAGATGTCAGGATCCTTAAATAAAAGTCTGGTAGGACTGTGTTGTTACTTAAGCAAAGGAAAGGGTAGGCTTAAATTATCAAGCGTCGAAATCGTTAACTCTTACCGTAAACTATTTTGGCTGTCTTTGAACTCTTTGAAATATATTTGATACAATTACAGTTAAATGAATTCCATTAATTTACGCAGGTAGCAACTTGAAGTAAGGTTGTTCCTCTCGAAGCAAAGCGCCAAAGGCACCCGCGCGAGAGCACGGGTTATAATTTTGTTGCGCGTGCATCGTGCAGCTTGCACGTGGGTCATAGCGACCTGCAAACCAGTGTGGCCCATATTTCCATGTTTCTGGCTACCCGCAATGCATTAACGTCATCAAACAAGAAACTTGGTCGGCGTTGTTTTGACTATCTTACCGGCCGTTTTGGCCATCAAGAAATGCTTTTGCGATTGATTTGGATGTTAAAAGTGTATTACAGAGAACATTGAAGCAATTTGGACCAGTAGCTACAAAGAAATAAGTGCAAGGTTTTTGCGATAACTTATTTCTAGTTAACTTTGTTACTAACTTGAGTTATACAGTCCTCTGCCTGAGTAGAGAGATGGTCGGGGTAATAAACAGGGCTGTGCAATATCTCAGCCACAATTTGTTTTTCTTCTTCAGACGAGTCTAAGTCATCCTCATCGTCACAATCAAACGGATACTAATGTATCAAAACAAAAAGAGTTTTTTTTAAATCTACTGTATTATCAGCTTGTGCTATAAACAGCTTACTTATATAGAAAGACCATTTTTAAAAGTAACTTACAACGAAGACATCAGCATTGTGATTTGTTACATTGCATTGTTGCATTGTTGTTATTAAAATTGTTATTGTTATTATTATTATTATTATTATTATTATTATTATTATTATAAACTTATGCTTATAACTTTTTATTATGACTTTAAATCATAACTTTGATGTAAACAAGAGTGAGTTTCAAGAAGTTGTGAAACTAAGGTACGAGTGGGAAGTTCCTGATACTCCCTCTTTTTTTTTGTTTGCGGGGACATTTTCAGTGGGGATCACGCTATGATATGCAAATGTGGCTGATTTGTCATTTAACGCCATGGCCATGCTAAATTCAGGGACCTGCAGGCGGAACTGCTTAGCATAGTGAGTAAAGACGTTGAAGTCGAACCAGTTATGCAAGACATCACAGGAGAAGAGTTGAATAGGGGAGCCAACACCACTCCGGATGCGCTGAAGGATATAGCTGCTAGCTGATCCAGACTGCCGCCCGGTTAGCTCAGTTGGGAGAGCGCCGGTCTGCTGAGCGGGAGGTCGCGACTTCCAATCCTGGCCGGACCAACACTCAGGGTCTTAAAAATAACTGAGGAGAAAGTGCTGTCTTTGTAATGACATCTGCAAATGATTAGATTTTCAAGTCTTCTCGGATAAGGACGATAAACCGAAGGTCCTGTCTCACAAACCTTGTTCATATATAACTCTGTGGGACGTTAAAGAACCCACACACTATTCGAAAAGAGTAGGGGACGTAGTTCCCGGTGTTGTGTTCTATCTTCATCACTTACATCATCACTCATCATGGGTCGGGAGGGTTCAGTTGGCTCATAAATGGACTGATAGCGGCTGCCATCGGCGCCCTTAGTATGCTGATGTCCGAGCCCACTGCAAAAAGCTATGTAAAGAGGACATGTATGTTTGTCCTCTCAATCGCGACATTTACATTTACATTTACATTTAGGCAACACAAAAAAAGGGCAGAAGCGCCAGTAGGCTAGCCGAGTGTTAGAATCGATTAGAAGTAGAGCGAGCTACATTCACGCCATAACGTTTTTCAGCACGGAAGGTGGAATGGTAGTGGAATGTAAACGATACCATAGTAGGCTTGCCGAGCTAGTTGCTGCAAAGAAGGGAGAAAGCTATATGACTACCATGTCATGGATCCGGGCCGAAGTGTCATTTGCCCTGCTAAGACCAGCTTTACTTTTTTCAAAAGGATCGGGAGTACTAGTAGAGTCTATTTAGAAAAGTCAGATATGGATTTAGATATTCAAAACTGACTCTCGAATATTCCAAAAGACAATTGAGAACGTTATTATATTTTCCTTTATTTAGTTAGAATACGTTTACGTTTACTTTAGAAAATAGGTTTTAAAAACAAAAATTGAAGTGATTTTTTTTTTAATTCAAATGAAATGAAATGAAATGTTTTTAATTCAAATAACTCTTTTTAATTGAAACGGAATTGTTTAATCGAAATTAGGCGTTTTTTATCGAAATAAAGTGTAAATTGTACTACGTATACAAATATTATTATAAGCAGCAGTAGCAGTAGCAGTAGCAGTAGCAGCAGTAGTAGTAGTAGTAGTAGTAGCAGTAGCAGTAGCAGTAGCAGTAGTAGTAGTAGTAGTAGTAGTAGCAGTAGCAGTAGCAGTAGCAGTAGCAGTAGCAGTAGCAGTAGCAGTAGCAGCAGTAGTAGTAGTAGCAGCAGCAGCAGCAGTAGTAGTAGTAATAGAAGTGGTGGAGTAGTAGTCGTAGTAGTAGTACTAGTACTAGTACTAGTAGTAGTAGTACTAGTACTAGTAGTACTAGTAGTACTAGTACAAGTACTACATGTAGTGGTGGTTTAGTAGAAGTAAACGCCTTTCTCAGTCAGTGGAAATAGCATGTGATATTTACGGATAATCGTTTATAAATTAGTTGTTTAAAGATGTCTTCACCCACTTCGATTTTCAGCAACGAAGATATGTAAAAGCCAAATTGGCTTACAAACCTCGCCAACCAGCAGTCTATATAGTATTACACCCATTGACCACCAGTCAACAGAAGTGTCGTATGGTTTGCTGTCAAGCATCTGTAATGTAATGCAATAAGGCAGGTTAACTGAAATATAACTCAACATTTAAATATAAAGGAAACTGAAATTGTATGATGAGTGAAATTATTTATATTAGTGGCGACTGACCATTGGTCAACTGGGCCAATATTTGTGTCAAAAAGAAATGTCTTGTTGAAAGCTTTCATGGTGCGGACCGGTCACTAATTACAAAGTTATAGTTTTAAATTAGTAAGCATCGAATCCCAAATAAATATTTATTAATTAATGGTCATGACCACTGATCTTAACTAGTAAGCTGCTCGTCAAAAAAAATGTAAATTCAAAAACTTTGTTTTCTCTTTTCATAAAAAATCCAGTAATCAAAACGCGACACAAACTTATCACAGTCTTAGAAATGTCTAGTGTCATTCAGTCATGATTCAAATCGATGTGTTCTCAACTCTTTCCTTCTTGTTTGATATGTAATTAAACATTACTCCTCGTGCTTGATATGCACTTCTCAAACTCATTAATAATTCATAAAGAAAATTCAAAGGAAATTAATGTTTAATGAGTGTTTGGATATCAGATGAAAAACTGCTCAGTTTTGCATCCTTAATTTCTCCTTCAAAAATGATGAGAAGAAATATCAAACATTCGACACAGTGTTTCATCACCAGATGAAACACCTCGAAGTTCGTCAAAAATACTCCGCTGCGCGTCGTATTTTCAACTCTCTTCTTGGTGTTTCATCTGGTGATGAAACACTGCATCTCATGTTTGATATATTACTTCAATTTTTTATTGTGTGTTTGTTATGTTATCAAACACTAGTTCTCGTGTTTGATTTGCATTTAAACATTGCTCCTTATTACTTCGGCGGAGCGAGATGTAAAGGATTCGCGACGCTCAGGAACGTTCAAAGTTGATACTTTTGGGACAAGATTGGGCACGCAAAGGATGTAGGTTTTTGGTTAATTTATTCGGCTATTTGACGAAGTGAGAGCCGAATTGGTTCGAGACATCTCGAGATCACTTCGACTTCTTTGATTTATTCTTTAACTCATTCGAGGAAGAAAGAATTATTATTTTGGCTTTCACGAGGTTTGAACCGACTCACCTGTGTGACCCGTCAGAACAAAGGAGACTCTAAGTTGAGGGATTAGCCGATTGCACTACACTGAGACCCAAGGTAGTTCGGGATATGAAAAATAGCTATGAAATTATGCACTAGTCCTCGGGAAAAGATTGGGTGAGCAAATTTGTGACGTTTCGGCTTATTTCGGCTATTTCACGAAATGAGACCGGACTACTTCCAGATATCTTGAGATCACTTCGAGTTTAGTCTTTAATTTACTCGAGGAATAAATAGAGGACATTACATGACCGCGCAGAGACACGAAATTTCACTTCGAGTGTTGAAAAACATTTCACGAGTGAGCGCTCCTTTCGAACTGTTTTATGATGAATTTAAAGTTACAAAATGCTGCACGAAGACGTTTTGTCTTTGTTGAGTGTTACGTAGTAATATTACTTTCATACGTTGCGTGACTTTCTCGAACGTTCTCTACGTTTTTGGATTAGTCATGAATAATTAATTAGGGCATGTTTACATTTCAGCATGAGTCAGCAGATTTGCATCAGTTACTGAAGTCATAAAATATGTCGAAAAGCTACTGCTATTCGCCTGTTTAATATTTTCTAGAACCTTATGTCAAACGGTATACAAGTTCCAAGCGGGTTTTTTTGACGAACTAAGTGTTTTTCCCACGAGCTGGAGTGCTGTGTTTAGTCAAGTGTGACGAGGGTCGATTTTCAAGTTCTGTGTTTACAAGTTGGCGGAAGCCGTAAGATATCTGAAGTTCAAGTGAGAGTTTATTAGTACCAGAGGCTGTTTAGTTTTACTTAAGTTCAAGTCAAGTTTGTGTTGGCAGATGCTGTGTTTTAAAGCTCTGTAAAGACTATATAATGTTCTTTTGGTATTAAACTTCCTTGTGTTAATCCGACATCCCTGCGTGCTAATAGTCAGTGAATAGTTATCCTCAAAACATTCGACCTTGTATCATTGAATTTTAGCCAATTTCATATGCTCAACGTATTTGACTCCTTGCCCATGCTTTACATATCTTTAATCAGTACATAAGACTGCTATGCTGTTTTTGAAGCGTTATGTAAGAAAAATAGAGAATTTTGTTTTCACTGTTTGTTTTGTTAGACTTCTTATTCACTGCCAGTAACCTCATATTTACTTAGGTCTAAACGTTTAGACCCAAGTTAAATTTAGAAGAATTTGTATGGAGTCACCAGAGCATAACCGGGCTAATATCTCAGAGATAAGTTGCCCCGAAATGCTAGCTCTTGGCAACTAGGCCTCTTGGATGTTGCTCTTTTCAGAATATCCTGACAAATCCCATAATTTCACAAATTAACACCTTACCATATTGCATTTCTTACTATTCCTCCGCGTTTACAATAAATCCCTTCCACAACCACGACGCCAAAGTTTACGCTCCATAGAGTCTTGTGTTTGATTTTTATCTAAGCGCTGATGCACAGTTTTTGTTTGAAGTGATATTAAACGGCATATATCTTGTATTTGATTGCTAGATCTGTAATCGCAATTATAAAAAATTGGGCCTACCTCGGGTGCCATGTAACGTGGCGTTCCACAGATGCCTGTGGTTGTCTGTTCTTTTACTGCTTTCGCGAGCCCAAAGTCCCCTATTTTTAGGTGGCCATCTTCCTCCAATAGTAGATTTTCCAGCTTTAAATCCCTAGTCAATTAGACAAAGAACAATAAAAAATATTCTAGTTTTGTTGTTGTTTCACAAACTATAGATTGAATTCTGCAAAAAGTCCGAAAAAAAAAACTTTTCACGTTGTAGAAAATGCCAAACCGGTAGATTTTAAAAGTATTATTGGATCGTGGTTTTGTAAAATAGGCTTTCCCGGCCGTCAGTGCAAAGCCCAGTTTTCCATTTAGTAACCAATAATTAGAAATTATTGTAATGAAATGTAAATATAATGTATTGTAATTGTTTGTGTGTCCGAAATGACAAATAATTAAAAAAAACTTTCCACGATATGGAAAATTCCAAACCGTTATATTAAGGAGGAGAGAGTGGGGGTGTGAGGGCGAGGGGCGGAGGAAAAGAGGGAGGTGTTCGGTAAATGAAGTAAGAAGTCATTTAATAAACAGCGTTGATCTGCTTTGAAAATGCATCCCTTACACATATAGAACTTTAATTCACGTGATACTGTTTGTTTCCAAATTTATTACATCCACTTTGAAATCACTGGCTATCCGTGCAATCTGATTGGCTCTCAGCAGTGTGATTTATTCCTAAATCGCACGATTTTTTGCTCTAAATCGCATCTGTTCCAAATCGCGTCATTCATGTTCTAAATCGCATCATTTCTGTTTTAAATCGCACCATTTTTGTTCTATATATCGCATCATTTCTGTTTCGAATACAAAATGAGATGTAAAAGCCTTTTTATTTTCGGCTTTTTAACAAACCGGCTACTTGATCAATAAAATATTAGTACTGTCTAAATTCTGCGATTTCAAAATGGATGTAATAAATTGGTAATTGAACTTCGTGTCGTGCAATTTTGGTCTCAAATCATACTTGTGATTTCAAATCGAACTCGCGCTGCGCGCTCGTTCGATTTTGAAATCACTCGTATGATTTCAGACCAAACTGCACTCCACTCAGTTCAATTACCATTATTAATCATTAATTAATTGATATTTTTGAATGATTAAGTGCATCCTTAGAGTGTCGTCTCAGTATTTATGTTTGATTAAATACAACACCCTGCCTTACTTACCTGTGAATAATTCCTTTGGTGTGTATGTATTCTAACCCGCAGATTATTTCGGCTGCAAAAAATCTAAAATCAAGCACTTTGTTATTGACACAATTATAATGAGAATCATAATATTGATAATTATAATATCAAAAAACAAAAACAAATTATACAAGCAACAACAGCCAGGGAGGTACCCCCCTCCTCCCATCCAGAGTATTGCAAGTGAAACTATTTCATTACCTGCAAACGTTCTCCGAAAATTTCCTTACAGCCGAGAGCTGCGTCTCAAGATTTCCGTTGCTGCAAAATTCCATTATAATACCAAGGAATCCCTGTCGAAAAAAGGAAGAAAAACAGTAGTACGATGTTCCTTACACAAACGTAACATGTAAACTACTTTTCCACGCGTAGTTTTCATTGTCATTAAAAAAAAATCATTTATATCACTGCCATATCTTGAGTTTTGGATAATTGTGTTTAAATTTTTGAGTACTTGCTGACCAGTGTCATTTGACCATATCGAAGGCTCAGGTATAAAATATATTTTTGGTTTGGCATGTTTTTTATTAGTTCTTCGCTGACCAGTTGTTGGTTCTCAGGAGGAATTTAGTTTCCTTCTTGCGTAAAAAGAAATTAACGTTTAATTACTGCCGATAGATCCAACGAGAGCTTCGCTTTTTAGCTTGACTAAACCTATATATTATATCGAAATTGGTCTGTTGCGCCATTTTTGTAAGCACACAGCAGGCCAAGATGATTAAGCCAGAATGACAAGCGTTACATTATAAGCATGGTGAGTCATGGTGCTGTCCAAGTAGAATTCACGCTACGTCGCCTACCGTGATGATTAGATTTAGAGTCTCCTCTCGAAAAAGCGTTCCTCTTCGAATGTGTTTTTGTTATTAAGTGCCCCTATTCTGCTAAGCGCCCCCATCGTAATATTAGGGAACGTATCAACTGAGGTTCATATTCCTTTAATTACTCAGAAAACGAACGGTAATGCCACCTTACAAGAACAGTGGTCCTCGTTTGAGTTTTTCACTTTAACTGAACATTCACAATATATTTTTGTTACTGTTACAGTTTCTGTTATTGCCTCTTTTAATAAAAGTAATATTAAAGTTTTCTTTTGAGACAAGTCGGTTGTTTCTCAACGAAGAAATAAGCGTCCTGTGCTGATTAAGCGCCCTGTCTCAAAATAAACGATACCTTGAGGTACCAAAGGTAAATAAGCCCCCCGGGCGCTAAATCGAATCATTACCGTTCGGTAAGTTTGTGAATAAGAGGGATGTGAGGGGGTAGTGAAATAGTAAAAAAACATGGGGACTGGAATATAACTTTTGTAGTTGTTTTTGTAAGGAAATTACAACCAAAATGAAGAATTTATCCCAGGATTAGTGCTTAGTCAGACTTCGAACAGGAGCAAGGTGTCATCCTTTAATCGTATCATAACAGTTTATCCATACCTTTACGCAAATCAAACCACAGATGTTTGTCACGAATCCTGTTCCTCGACATTGGGCAAGCATTGCTACTTCTTTTTTACCCTCCTTTCTTTTCACTAGTTTCATGGCGTAATCTTCAGAAGAGTTACGGTTGGCAACCTGGAAAACCTAAGCAATGATACATATCTTTTAAAAGTGAGTGATCCTAAGATAGCTTTTGTTTCTACAAGGGTACGTAGAGATTCCCGTTTGAAATGTTTTGAGAGTAGCAATCGGTAAACAACCTAATGTGAAAACATTGACTCTGTTATTACTGTCTCGTAAAAATAACCCAGAGTAGATGAATTTTGCTGGCTGGCCTAAGCAGGCCATCTTCCATTTTAAGAGGCTTTTGTTTTGATTTAGCATATAACCGGTGAAATTCTCTCGATTTTTTTTTATGTCAGATCTGGGTCGTGCGCATGGATATTAGGGACCTTACGATCCGACAACGGCGGCGTCCATGAAAACGTCGCTGTAAAATAGACTTCAAATGCTTTCACTTTTTTTGCGATTATTCCAAGGGGCCCAGTTACTTAAAAGAAGGGAATCTGGGTTGGAGCTGAAGAGAAGGGACTGCGCCCGAGTTCTGACAGAGACGGTAGAATTTATCGCCTTGCCGTCGCCGTTATCAAGTAAAATTAAAATTTGATCATTTCACGTCGTAATTATGCAAGGACTGCAAAAAAAAAATGTACAAAAAAGCGTGATGCACGTGGCGTTCCCGTTGCCGTCGCTGTCGTAGTTTCGTAAGGTCGCAACAACGATGACGGCACAATGAACAAGAAAGCGCAAATTAAAAAAGCAATAAGATTAGACAAGAGAGTATGGATCAATTTAGGTCTCTGGAAAACTACCAATGACGTACCCCTCCCCTAAGCCGAAATTAACATTTACTTCTCTTTTAGGGCAAAATGTTGATTTAGGGGAGGCGTAGGTGGCAGTTTTTCAGAAACCTAAATTGATCGTATAATGAGATAGAGAGGGAATCTTAGGGCGTTGGCCAGGATATTTGAATTTCATGAAAGTTATTTTTAGAGGTTGTAATTAAACTGAGGTCTAATTCCTGAGACGTTCGCACATTGTAATCAAGTTCAGATATCAAGTCCTTCTTGGTTTAAATTCACTTGACAAAACAAAACTTTACCCGTTTCTTGAACGTCGTTGCACGACTACGACTCAAACCTGATAAACGATTTCAAGTTTTGGTAAAGACGTTAACGTAAGACAACTATTTGCTAGTTCTCAGTTACACTTACAAGATATCCGACACGGCCGTGAACGTAGTATGTAATAACTGGGTAAGCATTGCTACTTCTCTTAGCAATGTCTAATATTAAAAATGTATCTATTTACTTTTTTTCGTTTTCTTAGTTGTCAAATAAGGTTACAATATTGCAATTGTCTTACCTTACCAAACCCGCCTTGACCTAGAAACTTGATATTCAAAAAGTCATCAATTCCGTTTGCCCACCAGACATTATCTGTGTGCAGGCGTTTAACTGGAGGTTCAGCCTTCTTATCTCCCGAAATTTTCCTCTTTCTTCCAGTCTGTGAAATTCAAAGTTCGTGCTGTTACCTTACTGTTACTGAGAGTTTTATGTTAGTGACTTTTAGAATTTGGTATTTAAATAAAGGCCGGAAATCAAAGGAAGTTTTGGATTCTAGATTCCACGTCTTGGATTCTGGATTCCTTGAGCTGTATTTTGGATTCCAAATCCCAGCATCCCAAAAAAAGCTCAAAGGAAAATTCCCAGATTCCAGGTTCTTTCTTAACTCCTCCAAGTCGATATGAGAAAGAGGGCATCTAAGTATTGGGCGACCTTGCTGTCCAAAGAAAACAGTTTTAATGACATTCACAGTTTAAGGATGTACGTATTACCTCCATTCGTCGGATCTCTCTCATTCGCAATGCAAAATCTCTCCACGTACGCTGAATGAGACTTGCCGCACTCTGTTTAGATAGAAAAAAAATATTTTCTTTCTTTTCTTTTTTTTTTTTTAGGTTTCATGGTTTTTTTGGATATATGACTTTTTTAGTGGACGGTTTGTCATTGCCGTACATTTACCTTATTAATTGTGAAATGAAGGCAAGGAACACACACATTTCACGCAAAAAGAAGTTAGTAAACGCAATAGAGATGCATTATTCAGCCGCTTTTATTTCTAGAAGAATGATGTATGCTGAAATAGCCTAAAACACAAATTCCAACGGGAGGTAAAAAAATTACTTAACTTTAGGGGTGCATTACTTAATTGTTATTTCTAAAAAGTGAGGAACAAATGAAAAATAAAAAAAATGAATAAATGAAAAGATTACTTTCAATTTCTCATTTCGTTTGGTCTCCTTTCGGCGAAGGAACGTCTTCCAAACGCGTTGAATGATGCCTGCCGCTTGCTGCCGGTCAGAGGGAGAAGATTTAGTAAACTCTAGGGATGCATTACTTATAATTTATATTTCCCAAAAAAATGAGGAAAAAATGCAAAAGTGAATAAATAAATTAAAAGATCACTTTCAATACCTGCTTTCGTTTCATCTCCGTTCGGCGAAGGAACGTCTTCCAAACGCGTTGAATGATGCCTGCCGCTTGCTGTTTAAAGAGAAAACAATTATTCAGTCAAAAATGAGAACTGTGTATGAAACACCACTTTTATCTCTTTTGTCATTATTTTTATTTTCATTCGTTATCCCTCTTCGTTGAAACGGTTACAGTATTTAAAATAATACAAATATAAAAATTAAATGTGATTGGTGGAGGAATACAAAAGACGATAACTTTGTATTTCGTCTATTGTATTCCTCCACCAACCTCATTTTGTTTTTATTTTTGTGTAGTTTTAAATACTGTAACCGTATATTCTATTCTCACTTAGCCTAATGAAGACTAGTTTTGTCTAGTCGAAATATTGGGCAAATAAATTTGTAACCTTTAGCTGTCCGATCAGCCTTCCATTCAATTTTCAATAAATGAAAAGATCATTTCAAATACCTCCTTTCGCTGGATGTCACTTCGTTGAAGGAGCGTTCTCCAGGCATGCTGGATTAGTCCCGCCGCTTGCTGTTTAAAGAGAACACATATTTCAATCAAAATTGATAACAGTATACGAAAAGTCACTTTTAGCTTCATTTTAAAAATTATGATAATTATATTACCTCCCTTTGTCTAATGTTTCTTAATCGCGATATAAATTTTTGCCATGTGCGCTCGATAACACATGGAAAGTCATTGCCCGCTTTTTGTGAAATTAATGATGGAAGGCAAAACTGAAATTTGGGAGAGAAGAAGGTTAAACTTGAGCGATCCATTACTCCGCTTCTATTTACAAAACGAACTAAAAAAGCAAAATGCAGACTAAAAAGTGAACGAATAAATGAATAAATAAAAGTATCATTTCTTTCGGTACTTCTACTTCTACTGTTGCTTTTTTTCTGCTGAAGATAATGATAATAGCAATAATGATAATAACGATGATGATGATGATTATTATTCATATCTCACACCACTAGTTGTATCGGTAGTCACGTATCCCTAGGTCATCAAGCTATTTCCTTTAGCCATATAGTGGATGGTTTGCCATTTCCTTCTTGTGAAATGAAGGCAACAGACGAAAACGTACAAATTTGAGAGCAAAAAGGCTAGTAATAAGCCTATTACTAATCAGCGTATTACAGATGCACTTATGAGATTCCATTTCTAAAACAAAATTTAATATGAAATATTCCTAAAACACAAATGCCGGTCAGAGGGAGAAGATTTAGTAAACTCTAGGGATGCATTACTTATAATTTATATTTCCCAAAAAAATGAGGAAAAAATGCAAAAGTGAATAAATAAATTAAAAGATCACTTTCAATACCTGCTTTCGTTTCATCTCCGTTCGGCGAAGGAACGTCTTCCAAACGCGTTGAATGATGCCTGCCGCTTGCTGTTTAAAGAGAAAACAATCATTCAGTCAAAAATGAGAACGGTGTATGAAACATCACTTTTATCTTCTTTGTCATTATTTTTATTTTCATTCATTATCTCTCTTCGTTGAAAGTCTCTTAGTTGCGATATAAATTTGCTCCATGTGCCCTGTATCACACTAATAAACGGTTAAGTGTTTAAAATAATAAAAATATATAAATAAAATGTGATTGGTGGAGGAATGCGATAGACGACAACTTTGTCTTTCGTCTATTGTCTTCCTCCACCAATCTCATTTTATTTTTATTTTTGTATTATTTTCAATACTTTAACCGTTTATTTTATGCTCACTTAGCTTGAAGACTAGTTTTGTCTAGTCAAAATATTGGGCAAATAAATTTGTAACCTTTAGCTGTCCGATCAGCCTTCCCTTCAATTTTCAATAAGTGAAAAGATCATTTCAAATACCTCCTTTCGCTGGATGTCTCTTCGTTGAAGGAACGTTCTCCAGGCATGCTGGATTAGTTCCACCGCTTTCTGTTTGAAGAGAACACATATCTCAATCAAAATTGATAACAGTATACGAAAAGTCACTTTTAGCTTTGTGATAATTATACTACCTCTCTTCGTCTAATGTTTCTAGGTCGCGATATAAATTTTCGCCATGTGCGGTGGATAACACATGGAAAGTCATTGCCCGCTTTTTGTGAAATGATGGAAAGGAAAACAGAAATTTAGGCGAGAAGAAGGTTCAACTTGAGCGATGCATTACCCAGCTTCTATTTCCACAACAAAATTAAAAGGCAAAATGCAGACTAAAAAGTGAATGAATAAATAAAATTATCATTTCTTCCGGTACTTTTACTTCTACTGCTACTTCTACTGAAGATAACGATAATAACAATACTGATAATAACGATGATGATCATCATCATTATTCATATCTCACACCACTAGTTGTATCGGTGGTCACGTATCCCTAGGTCATCAAGCTATTTGTTATAGCCATATAGTGGATGGTTTGTCATTTCCTTCATGTGAAATGAAGGCAACTGACGAAACGTACAAATTTGAGAGCAAAAAGGCTAGTAATAAGACTATTACGGCTGCACTTATCAGATTCCATTTCTAAACCAAATTTTTGTATGAAATATTTCTAATTAAAAACGTAAATTCCGGTTGGAGGGAGAAGATTTAGAAAACTTTATAGGAACACATTACTTATATTTTATGTTTCCAAAAGAATGAGCAAAAAATGCAAAAGTGAATACATAAATGAAAAGATCACTTTCAATACCTGCTTTCCTTGGGTCTTCTTTCGGCGAAGGAACGTCTTCCAAACGCGTTGAATGATGCCTGCCGCTTGCTGTTTAAAAGGATAACAGTTATTTATTCAAAAGTGAGACTGTGCATGAAACATCATTGCTATTATTTTTATTTTCATTCATTACCTTTCTTCGTTGAATGTCTCTCATTTGCGATCTACATTTGCGCCACGTGCGCTGTATCACACTAACAGCACTGTGTGTTTATGTATCTTGGAAATGTATGTTTGGAAAGTCATTTCTTTATCTTCATATTTTTGTTACTAGATTATTTCTATTACCTTCTTGTAAAAAGACAGCCAACGAGAATACAAATTTTTGAGGAAGACGGTTAGGAAACTTATTATGGAGACACTAATCACGACAGATTTTTCTGTTCTAAAACAATACAAATTTATGAAATAAAAACTATGAAATATTTCCAAAACACCAATCTCGGCGGGAGGAAGAAGGCAAGTAAGCTTTAGGAATCTATTACTCATGTTTTATTTCTGTTTCAAAAAAGTGAAAAATAAATGAAAAATTAAAAAAAAATGACTAAATGAAAGATCACGTTCAATACCTCATTTCGTTTGATCTCTTTTCGGCGAAGGAACGTCTTCCAAACGCGTTGAATGATGCCTGCCGCTTGCTGTTTAAAGAGAAAACAATCATTCAGTCAAAAATGAGAACTGTGTATGAAACATCACTTTTATCTCTTTTATCATTATTTTTATTTTTATTCATTACCTCTCTTCGTTGAAAATCTCTCAGTTGCGATATAATTTGCTCCATGTGCCCTGTATCACACTGATAAACGGTTACAGTATCTAAAATAATACAAATATAAAAATGCAATAGGCGACAACTTTGTCTTTCGTCTATTGTATTCCTCCAGCAATCTCATTCTATTTTTATTTTTGTATTATTTTAAATACTGTAACCGTTTGTTCTATTCTCACTTAGCTGTTGTAGCCCCTGATGAAGACTAGTTTTGTCTAGTCGAAATATTGGGCAAATAAATTTGTAACCTTTAGCTGTCCGATCAGCCTTCCCTTCAATTTTCAATAAATGAAAAGATCATTTCAAATACCTCCTTTCGCTGGATGTCCCTTTGTTGAAGGAACGTTCTCCAGGCATGCTGGATTAGTCCCGCCGCTAGCTGTTTAAAGAGGACACATATTTCAATCAAAATTGATAACAGTATACGAAAAGTCACTTTTACCTTTATTTTAAAAAACTATGATTATTATACTACCTCCTGAAATGATGGAAGAGAAAACAGAAAATTGGGAGAGAAAAAGGTTACAATTGAGCGATGCATTACTTAGCTTCTATTTCCATAACAAAATAAAAAAGCAAAATGCAGACTAAAAAGTGAATTAATAAATGAAGATAATGATAATAACAATAATGATAATGACGAAGATGATGATGATGATGATGATGATGACGATTATGATTATCATTATTAATATCTCACACCACTAGTTGTATCGGTGGTCACGTATACCTAGGTCATCAAGCTATTTCCTATAGTCATATAGTGGATGGTTTATCATTTCCTTCTTGTGAAATGAAGGCAACTGACGAAATCGTACAAATTTGAGAGGAAGAAGACTAGTAATAAGCGTATTACAGATACACTTATGAGATTCCATTTCTAAAACAAATTTTGGCATGAAATATTTCTAATTAAAAACATAAATTCCGGTCGGAGGGAGAAGATTTAGTAAACTTTAGGGATATATTACTCATAATTTATATTTTTAAAAAAGTGAGGAAAAAATGCAAATGAATAAATAAATGAAAAGATCACTTTTAATACCTGCTTTCGTTGGGTCTCCTTTCGGCAAAGGAACGTCTTCCAAACGCGTTGAATGATGCCTGCTGCTTGCTGTTTAAAGAGAAAACAATCATTCAGTCAAAAATGAGAACTGTGTATGAAACATCACTTTTCTCTTTACTGTTATTATTTTTATTTTCATTCATTACCTTTCTTCGGAATGTCTCTCATTTGCGATATACATTTGCGACACGTGAGCTGTATCATGCTAACCATACTCTGGGTTTATGTATGTTGGAAATTTAAGTTTGGAAAGTCACTCTTTTATCTTCATATTTGTTACTAGATTATTTCTATTACCTTCCTATAAAAAGAAGGCCAACAAAAACACAAATTTTGGAGGAAGACGGTTAGGAAACTTATTATGGATACACTCCTTCTGTTCTAAAATAATACACATATGAAATACAAACTATGAAATATTTTCAAAACACAAATTTCGGCGGGAGGAAGAGGGTAAGTAAACTTTAGGAATGTATTACTCATGCTCTATTTCAGGAGCCCGTCAAATTTGATGGGCTCCTGTCTATTTCTATTTGAAAAATTGAAAATAAAAAATGAATAAATGAAAAGATCATTTCAAATACCTCCTTTCGTTTGATGTTCTTTCGTTGAAGGAAAGTCCTCCAGGCACGTTGGATTAGACCCGCCGCTTGCTGTTCAAAGAGAAAACATTTCAATCAAAATTGCTAGTAGTGTAAGAAAATTCACCATTATTTTTATTTTTTTCATTATATTACCTCTCTTCGTGTAATGTTTCTAAGTCGCGATATAAATTTTCGCCATGTGCGCTGTATAACACACGCGGCCCTCTGTTTAGAGAGAAAACATAGATTAATTTTTAAAAAAATTGCTCAGTGTATATGTAAAGTAGTTTGCCGCTTTTTGTGAAATGATGGAAAGGAAAACAGAAATTTATGTGGGAAGAAGGTTAAAGTAGAGGGATGCTTACTCAGCTTTATCACTAAAACAAAGTCAATGAATATGCAAATAGATGAATTGAAATAAATAAATAAAAGTCTCATTTCTTTCGGTACTTCTACTTCTACTGCTACTTCTACTGAACATAATGATAATGATGATGATGATGATGATGATGTATATACTCTTAGTGTTCAAATCACATCCTGCAACCTTCGTATTTGAGAACCCATCGAAGGATTCGTGCTGTTCGAAATAAGAAAGTCTTTTAAATCCGAGCCACATCAATATGCACCCCCATGTTTTCAAGATGGCCAATAGGCACGACTCTAGTTTCCACAGTTTTTTCAATTCTATTGCTTAGTCTTGATATTTATCAATTTTCTCTTTCTCCTTCAGTATGGCCCTAGCATTCCCTGGATCAGCTACGTATTATTATTATTATTATTATTATTATTATTATTATTATTATTATTATTATTGTCTCTATTATCACAGTCTTTGCTGGTGTTCTTTTTGTGCATCAGCCGGGCGCAAACCATGCACCTAGAGCGTCAGTCACTCAAGTCAATCATTCTGTTCATACACTGAGCACCTTTCTGAGGATTCGTGCAGATCCCAGCATGCAGATCTTTTGAATCTCTGTCATATTAGCTCTTTCTGATACTTTCTTGATGTTTTCTACCATACCCTTCTTCACTGTACCAAGCGCACCAACAACCACAGGGATCACTACGGTTTTCATATGCCACATTCTCTGTATTTCTAGTTCTAGGTCTTTGTACTATTATTATTATTATTATTATTATTATTATTATTATCATCATTATTATCATTATTATTATTATTTGATGTGTTTCCTTTTTTTTAAATGTTTTTATTTTATTTTATTTTTTTTTATCGATCTCTTAATCTTTAGTTACATCTTCTTATCGGAAAATTGGTACCAAAAAATGAACAGCAATAGATTTATATCTCGCCACATGGATCAGAATCTTATCCGTATTATTAGAATCAGCGCGATGACGTTTATGTCATCCACTGGGACTTTTTATAACTCTACGAAATTTCTTGGAATTTTAAATTGCGAATAAAGGCAATGAAGCCCATTTTTCCTTTTGCAAGCATTATTATTATTATTATTATTATCATTATTATTCAGTCTCTTTTACTTAGCATGTTGCTATGTTAAAGTTGTGTTAGTGACGGTGGAATAAATTAGACAGTGGGGGAAAAGTATTTAAATATTCGTGGGTAGCTCGAAATAGTTGTCAACAGTGAAATGAAATGAAGTGAAAAACCACAATTCGGAAGGTCCTCAGTTTAGTCTCTTTTATAGCCAGTGCAGGAGCTTTGACGGGAAGAAGTTTCTAAACAACTACAAATACTATTCTTACTTGGGCCTTTTCGTCTTCAGCTTCACATAATTTCTTGTTATCTTGATTTGTGCTACAAAGCAAAAATAATACTGCATTAGTCGCGGTTGCGAATTTTCAAGTTTTTCTTGTTTCTAACTTTGCAGTTTGAGGCCTTTTCTCGTTTCTTTTTATTTCATGTTTGTTTGTATTTTTGTCGCTGCGATTTTCTCTTGAAAACAGTATGTTATTTGAACTCGTTTTTTTAGCCGAGTGGCGTGGCAAAAGAAGCACGCCATTCACCACGCCAGTAAGTGAGGCAGAGGTTTAAAAAATTTGGTTTTGTATCATTCTTGTTTGTATATTTGTTGCATTGGTGCCTACCTCTCACACTCTTTATATCCCAAAATATTTCTTACAGCGTTTTGTATGGCTATAAAACCTAACCAAAAGATCGGTACACCCATTTATACCAATGGCTGAATCTCAACTAACAAATTACGTCACAAACGCTACTCTTGAAGAATTCTAATTCCGCGCGCGCTAGCTGAACGCGAGATTAATGCAAACCTAATTAATTTTTGGAGATACAGCATTGCAACTGTCCTAATTGCCTTGTAATCAGATACGCCAATTCAAACAGTAAAGAAAGACATTTAAAAATTGGAGTATCAAGTGAAAGTGACCGCTGAATGCAGGGACGGTAAATGGCGTGCTTTTTCACCGCAGGCTAATCGATATAATTTATCTAACCTGGTTTTTAACCTTGAACTCTATATTAGTTCTGCCAATAAAGTGGTTTCTGCAAAGAGTGGACCGTACAACAACCATTTAAACTGACCCATCTAAAATGAACACGTTACATAAGGAACAGTAACCCTTCGGCATTTTTCCTCGGCGGTAGTACGCCTACGTTCCTGTGATTTCTTTCATACTTTATTCTTTCTTAGATATTTTTGAGGTATCCAACATGCCTAATTAGCAAAATTAATAGGATTTTGGACCACAGTTAGAAAGAAGGACTGAGCAAGAAACGGCCATTCTCGTTCACTTTCATCCTCGTCATCCTCATCCAAAATAAAGTGTGCGACGTATTCTTGTGCCATCTCTTCTTCTGAAACAGTAGTGCACTCGAAAGGATCGGTCTCTTCCTCCTCTTGGTGAAACGCTTGCAATCTAGGTAACAGACTTTGGTATGGACCATGCTTGATACACGTTATTTGATCATCCTCCGACCCATCAAGGTTAGACGATATATAATGCGCACACCTTAAATGACTTCTTAATTACCTCTGCGGGTAACTTTTTCCAGGCTTCTAATACCCATGCCCCGGGACCCATGCAATCATTTGCTGACGCGATGGCCCTTTCATATTTCCATGCGCTGTCATTTGGTGTTCGCTTTCCGCCAGCTAATTGTCATACATCTCTCTTAAATATTCTTTCATGGGCTTATTCTAACTTACATCAGGAGCCTGGATAAACTTTGTGCAGCCACCAGGTATAATTACAGAATCAACTTTAGCTCTGTTGAGTAGATCATTAACTCGAGGTGTTAGGTGACATCGAGATGCGTCCCATGCTAACAAGCGACGTGTGCCAAAAGAAAACGTTCCTATATAACCTCACGGCAATACTGTTCAGTCAAGGCTTCATCCATCCATCCACTGCCACTGCTAGCTATACAATACACTTGCTTTGATATTCTTCGTTTAGCCTTTTCACGTCAGTCTTGGCTCCCTTAAACACAAAGAAAGGCTTTTTTTTTCCACCGTCAGCCGTTGCAGTTAAGCAAACTGTCGCTAGGACAAAAGAACAGATACAACTTTTATAGCGCCGCTTAGAATGCATTTCTAGAGATTTGAAAGTACTCTGGATAAGCGAAAAAGTGTTTTCAATGCATTTAGGAGGTAACCGTGGTTGGGTGCCCCTGCTTCGCGGTTTATATTTCAGTCACTTCTGCCTCTTCTCTGCCTTGCTTGGCTGTTCAGTGGGGTAGTTTGAATATGGATATTTCACCGATTCTTGTTTTTTAAG